CAATCTTGAAAGTTATAAACCTGCATTCAAGAGCACCTGTCAGAGTTATTTCCATAAACTTCCTTAAGGAAGCAAGATGTGGACTGCAGCTGATTATAAATTTGAGAAGAATCAAAGTAAAACAATAATTGTCTGTGAGTGACAAAAGTCTTGGAATAGCCATGGCTGCTAAAGACACAATTGACAAGGAAATTTGATTATTTCTGTGGAATACAATAATTTAACATAATAGTCATAATTATTCCTGATAACATGTATTAAGACATACCAGAATTATGTGAATTTCATATAATTATGGAACATATATTAATGACACATGCACATAAATATAACCCAAAGAAAGTTAAACACCATTTCACATTTAACAATGATTCTGGTATGATTTTAACATACCAATGAAGATGAATATGCCTGTCTTGGACTTTAGGAGCCCTAATATCTAAAAAGTTAGTTTGAGGCCAAAAGAATAAATTTAGAATTTGGAAAGGTATCAAATATCAAAGGCTTAAAACACTTGGTATCATAAACTAGAGTCACAGATAACTGTAAAATATGTCATTTATTTAATCAAAGTGACCATTCAAATATTTTGAAAAGCAAAAACATTTACTTTTTGGTAGAGAGGAGACTTAGTTTCTCAGATAATCTCAAAACTTAATAAAGACAGCTAAAAAGGTAAATTTAATCTGTCTCTCTCTTCCCTTTTTTTGTTGTATACTCAAGGTAAATAAAAATCTTAGAACAGATGCTGGAGAGGATATGGAGAAATAGGAACACTTTTATACTGTTGGTGGGAGAGTAAATTAGTTCAACCATTGTGGAAGACTGTGTGGCGATTCCTCAAGGACCTAGAAATAGAAATTCCATTTGACCCAGTAATCCCATTGCTGGGTATATATCCAAAGGATTATAAATCATTCTACTATAAAGACACATAAACATGAATGTTCATTGCAGCACTATTTACAAAAGCAAAGACCTGGAACCAACTCAAATGCCCATCAATGATAGACTGGACAAGGAAAATGTGGCACATATACACCATGGAATACTATGCAGCCATAAAAAATGATGAGTTTGTGTCCTTTGTAGGGACATGGATGAATCTGGAAACAATCATTCTCAGCAAACTGACATAAGAACAGAAAATCAAACGTCGCATGTTCTTACTCATAGGCGGGAACAATGGGAACACATGGACACAGGCAGGGGAACATCACACAGTGAGGTCTGTTTGGGGGGACTAGGGGAAGGACAGTGGGGGATAGGGAGGTTTGGGAGGGATAACATGGGGAGGAATGCCAGATATAGGTGACAAGGGGATGGAGGCAGCAAACCACATTGCTGTGTATGTATCTGTGCAGTAATCCTGCATGATCTGCACATGTACTCCAGAACCTAAAGTGCAATTAAAAAAATCTAATGTCAAAAAACATAACACAAAAACTTGTTCAAACAGAAAACCAAATTTTACCTTTGCATTTTGTATTATTAACACGAAAGTTAATATTAAGAAATCCATCCAATTTTAATTAGTTTGATCACAAGGTAAGATTTTTGAAAACTTTTTGTAACCTCTTACAATATTTCTTATTCTTTCTTCCAACTTTGTATGTCTTCCAACAAGAACCTCAGGAATGTGTCAACTGAAGTGTGGTTTTGGCCCCAGGCAACAGAGATTCCTGGATGACCTGATGTCATTCTTGCAACTTGGACAATCTTTGTGTGACTGCTCTATTTTCTGCTTACTCAGGCTTGTGTATCTAACTTTCTTTTATGTGTCTTTTCTCTACTTTTTTTTCAGCTCAGTCATCATTTCTACTTCCTCATATGTTCAGCTTGTTTTCAGCTGTTCAGCTTACTCTACCTTATATCCTTTCCGTATTTATTCACCCTCAGATCTTACTGCAAAACATTAAAAAGAATCAGTATTTTCTGGTTCAAATTTGAGAAAGAATTGAGTAGTGTATATTTGTTTTTTTTCTGCCAGCTTTGGAGTCCCTTTGCCTATCAATGAATGTGCTGCTTTGGAACATAAGCCATGCTGCCTGAGGCTATGGTATCAGCAGGGACTTTGTGTGGGATAATTACCCTTAAAAGGGGCTGGGACTATGACAGGTGCTGATACTGACATGTCAAGTATAATTATATTCTACCTTGAAAGGTTCTGACAGTTTCCATTTCAGAATTATTTTGGGACATATTCTGTATTAAAGCTTTTAGTATCTGAGAATAAAGTGTTTTGAGGAGTCCATGTGGTACATTGGTGTTGACCTTTTTCCTCCAGCTGTGTTATCATTATTACTGTGTTGCTTAGCAACTCTGCAGCATTATTTCTAAACCTAATATTAACTTGAAATACATTAGAAATGGAAAGTATAGAAATGTGACTGTTAGGTATATTGCTATTGTTTCAAATTACTGTCAGTATAACATGATATTATAAGACAAACCATACAAAATAGAATATTTCTTGACATTTCAGATTTAATATAAAGGATAAAACTAACACTGAAACACTTTAATTAATGGTAATAAAATATAAGGCAACAGAAAGCCTTTCAATCAGCTTTTCACATCCCTTAATCTAAATAACTTTTCCCAAAAGGAAAAGCAAAACAAAACCCTGAATTATGTATTTTTTCTTCTTTGAAATTATTCAGAAAGACAGAAAGGTATAACATTATTTTTTTGAGTAGTGCAATGGCATAATCATCTTAATGACCCTTATTATTCCACTTTTCAAAATTTAGGCAATGCTTTGCAAAAGGATTGTTTAAAAAGAAGCAATAGCTCCCAGCATTTATGAAGGAAAAATGGGTTACAGAGGGACACATTAATTACTCCATCAATACCATTCATTAAAAACCTATCCTCTAGGCACTATGCTATAATATTTATTAAAAAGACAGAAAGATATTAGCCAAAATAAGAGATGTATTGAGCTAGTGTTCATATTGCCAGTTGTGGAAAACTAGGTGTGGAGAATTTACATTAGACCTGTATGATCATCAGACAAGGTGGCTTACACCTCTAAACATAGCATTTTGGGAAGCTGAAGTGAATGAATCGCTTGAGCCCAGTAGTTTGAGACCAGCCTGGGTGACATAGTAAGACCCTGACTCTTCAAAAAGTTTTAAAAATTGGCCAGTTGTGGTGGCATATACCTGTAGTCTCCCAGCTACTCAGGAGTATAAGGTGGAAGAGTTGTTTGAGCCTTGAAAGTTGAGGCTGCAGTGAGTCATGATCATGCCACTGTACTCCAGCACTGGGTGACACGGCAAGACCCCATCTCTCTCTAAAAAAAAAAAGAGACCACTATGAATGATTGCCAAACATTTTTTTTTTTTTTTCTTTAAGATAGAGTCTCACTCTGTCACCCAGGCTGGGGTCCTGGTGTACAGTGGTGTGATCTTGGCTCACTGCAACTTCAGCCTCCCAGGTTCAAGTGATTCTCTTGCCTCAGCCTCCCTAGGAGTTGGGTCTATAGTTGTGCACCACCATGCCCGGCTAATTTTGGTCTTTTTAGTAGAGACAGGGTTTCACCCTATTGGACAGGCTGGTCTTGAACTCCTGACCTCAAGTGATCTGCCCACCTTGGGTCTTAAAGTGCTGGGATTACAGGCGTGAGCCACCATGCCTGGCCTATGATTGCCAAACATTTAATGACTTTTTCTTACTATGAAAATAAACACTGACCCATATGTCTCAAAATGGAAAAGATTCAGAAAACGTGTGTGGGCCTTTGAAAATTGGACACTGAATCCAAAGAGAAATGTCACATTTCTTCCTTGCCTTTTAATGAGATCTCTACTGTCCACAGTTAGTGAAAGGGCTCTTAGAGCAGTGGCTTTTAACTTTGGGGAGGATTAGGACCACTTTGAAAATTTGACAAGAAGCATGTACTTTCTTCCTAGAAAAATGGTAAGTATATGAGTTGATGAATATGTTAGTTTTATTTAATTATTTCACATTATATACATTTAACATCTCATTGTATCTCATAAATATATACAAGTATAATTTACCAATTAAAACTTTAAAAGAACGAATACTAAAAATATTTTATAATAAAATTTCCAGAGTCAGTACAATTGAAGAAACCTATCCATTAAACTGGGAGAGGAAATTAGAAACTTTGATTCTAAGGAGTGACTTAGTGGATGGACTGGGGAGTTGCCAAAGAAAGGGGTCTAACTGGAGGTGAAATGTTTTGTTTAGAGTAGAGAGAATAAATAATGTTCCTTGAAGTTAGGCATTCCCTATAACCTAAAATTGTCTTTTCTTCTCAACCATTGCTAGACCCTTCCTAATTTCTTTACAAGTGGCATCAAGACAAGACAAAACAGATAAGGGATTTGAAAGCTGACCCTGCACCTATTTAGCTATTCGACCTTAGATAATCAATTAATCCCCATTAACCTCAGTTTTCTCTTCTGTAAAATGGAACTAATACCTAATCCAGAAAGTTTTCATAATAATTAAATTGGATAATATATGTAAAATTCAAAGCAAGCTCTCAAATAATACACATTGTTTTATTTACTAACAAATACCAAAGTTTTGTGTCTATTTGAAATCTAATTTGTAGACACAGAATTATTCAGCCAGAAATATGCTTAAGATAAAAGACATGTTTCAAGTGAATATTTTTTTAAAGATTCCCCTAAGTGATCTATTGTTTTGCTGATTATTTATTGATAAAGAAAATGAAATTGGTTTATACATTTGAGTTATAGTAATTAAATGGTAAAAAACTTGGCTGGAACAACAAAATTTTATCAAAGATATTTTAGGTGTCTAAAGATCGAGCTATCCTACTATATTTCTATAAAATTCTTCACATTGTTAGTTTAAAATGACTTTTTATTTTAGAGGTAAGTTGTTTTTCAATTCTGATGCAATCCATTGTCAATATTGATCTTTAAGATTTCTTAATAAAAATAAAAATAATATAGATTGTATGTATTTATATTAATAAAATATTTTTGACATTTCAGAGTACAGATGATTCAGATATATCTGTCATTGCCCAGAACAAGAAATGCTTTGACAACGATATTGTTTGTTCTAAAAGTGTTTTGATTTCAGTTGGGGATACTGAAATTTACCTGAATGATACTCCTTACAAACAGGTTAGTGAATTATTTCTTTCAGGATCATTTGAACTTGTCCTGAGGATACTGAAAATAGAATAGAAATGATTTGGGCTGCTTCTCTCTGTAGGTGGTTAGGAGATCTACATTGTTTTTTCTTTTTCATTTTGTGTGGCTTCGGTAAATTATGCTTGACTTCTCTCTTCTTACTTCTTACTTTCCTTCTCTGTATGCCAATTCCTCCCTCTTGTTTTCATTCCTATAGACTCCTTTTGGGTCCTTGTAATCCTCATCTGTTGCCTTAATTAGTTCAGATTAGTTCAGTAGCTTCCAGACTAGACTCCTGGCTTCTAGTTTTAGTCTTTCACCTTTAATCCCTCCTCACATACTATAGCATGGGTAGTTTTATTTGTACTTTTTTTTTTTTTGAGACTGAGTCTCAATCTGTTGCCCAGGCTGCAGTGCAGTGTAACCTCTGCCTCCTGGGTTCAAGCAATTCTTCTGCCTCGGCCTCCCAAGTAGCTGGGATTACAGATGTGTGCCACCACACCAGGCCAATTTTGGTGTTTTTTAGTAGACAGGGTTTTACCATGTTTGTTAGGCTGGTCTTGCACTTCTGACCTCAGGTGATTCACCTGCCTCATCCTCCCAGAGTGCTGGAATTACAGGCGTGAGCCACTGTGCCTGGCCTTGTACATGTACATTTTTAATGGAAATCTAATATGTCACTCTGGTTCTTCAAGACTTTCAGATGCCTTCCCACTGCTCCTCCAAGGCCTTGCCAATCTGGCTGTTACCCACCTCTCCTGCCTGCTTTTTTACCACTTTCTGCTTTAAGCCCATATTCAAGAAGGTGGAGCATCTTATTAGTCCTTCATTAATATTATCACTCCTTCCTGCATCTGTCTTTTCATTTAATTTATTCTTATGCAATATGTCTTATCATACCTCCTCCAGGGAGCTCCACCTCATACTCTCAAGCACCCTATTAGAACGTGTATCATACTTTAATCAAACTGCTTGTGAGGTTATCTTCCCCAATTGTCTCCAAGTTCTTGTTTCTTGTATTCTTGGAGCCTGCCCAATTTAAAAGAATGAATAAATTTCATTCATTCATTCATTCATTCATGTCATACATTCTTTTATAATGTTTACTGAATATCAAAACGTGCTAATTATCGGGGCCACAACAGCGAAATAACACTGTGTTTGCTTTTAAGAAGTTTCTGCTCAAGTGAGGCATACAGTCAGGTTAATAATGATGTGCAGCATGGTGTCCTCTGGCAGGAATTTATATAGGATAATATGGGAACTCCTGGGAAGAACATGTAAAGCAACCTGGGGCACTTAGGGTGGTTGTTAAGAGCATAGACTTCAGACTCACTCAGTACTAACTTGGAACCTCTGTTCCATCACCTACTTGCTCTGTAACTTTGGGCAAGTTTACTTAACCTCTCCAAGCTGCAGCTTTCCCATCTGTTAATTTGGGAAGATTTTAGAATCTATTTCTTTAGTTTGTGTGAGGATTGAAATGAAAATATAAATTAAAGGATTTGAAGAAATGATTCTTCTGATCTCCTTTATCTTCCCTATTTTTGAAGGCTCAGATGACATGCTCTGGAGGAAATGATTTGCACTGAGTCTTAAAGGATGAGATGGCATTAGCTGAGTGAAGAGAGGGAGTAGGGTAGCAATCAGTACAGAGGAATAAACCCACTCAATGGGGCAGAGCTTAGAGATGAAATGGCATGTTTGGATAACTGCAGGCCATTTAGATTGGTGGAAGCACACTGTATAGGACAGTGTATGGAGGAAGTGGCAAGGAGATTCACTGAGGAGCGTCCTGACCAGCTGCCTTTCAGGGGACATTGGGTAAAGGCAATGGATTGAGGGGGCTGAGTCCCGACTATGGAAGCTCTCGAATGGTACAAGATATTTGAACCTTATTTTATAGACGAGAAATTTTAGAGCTAGAAAGTACATGATTTGGCCGGGCGCGGTGGCTTACGCCTGTAATCCCAGCACTTTGGGAGGCTGAGGCGGGTGGATCACGAGGTCAAGAGATCGAGACCATCCTGGTCAACATGGCGAAACCCCGTCTCTACTAAAAATACAAAAAATTAGCTGGGCATGGTGGTGCATGCCTGTAATCCCAGCTACTCAGGAGGCTGAGGCAGGAGAATTGCCTGAACCAGGAGGCGGAGGTTGTGGTGAGCCGAGATCGTGCCATTGCACTCCAGCCTGGGTAACAAGAGTGAAACTCCATCTCAAAAAAAAAAAAAAAAAAAAAAAGAAAGTACATGATTTGACAAATGGCCTTTAAAAACTGAGCTATATTCTGAGATTTTTTTTAGAGCAGTGTTTTCTCTCAGTTTGGTCTACAAATCTTCATTAAAATCATCTGGAATTTTTCTTGTAAGTGTTGGTTCCTGAGACCTACTTCAGTAATTGGAATGGCTGATGTTGAAAACAAAATTGACATTTTTAGTGGTACCTGAAATTCTTGTGCACGCTAAAGTTTGAGAACAATTACCTTAAAACGTAACTCATCTTTCAGTCAGAAACATTGAAACTAACTGGGCAGCAATCAAACTTTGGGCAAAACAGAGTTTCTACAATCGTGTTGACATGTTTTTAAAGTAATTACAGCAGTTTGTCATAACCACCAACCAGATAGTCATTTATAGCTGAAGGTTATTTCTAAAAACAAGGATGTTAAAAAAAGAAGCAGAAAATAGTAAAGGGTCTTATAAAGACAGTTTAACACATTTGATCACACATTTGGTGGTGATTACAACTCCACATAACTTTCAATTTCCAATTTTCACTTGTATGAAGGTGTTAATGAATCTCCTTTAAATAGGCTGTATGACATAAGTTAATCTTTTTATGAAAAGGCATAAAAAGAGTTTGACTCTAAAGAAATCCCCTGCAATATTTTTTTCTCAAACATGAAAAGTGAAAAATAAGTGCTGTTTATTTTATGGTAGATGGATCACCCATCCAGGGGAAGAAAAAAAAAAAAGCTCTGTTATTTTTCATATGTAAATGTACAATTCTAATATTATCAAATGTATAAGATATACATATTTTGATTTATTTAAGCTGTACTTTAAATATTTTAATTCTCCGTATTTCTAACTTGCCTTGCTAACATCATTAGAGTTTGTTTAAAGTGCTCTAATTCTCATCTGAAGTGAAGATCTCTATTTTGGACAATTCATAATACCTCACTTTTCTAATGAGACATATTACTTATGAATCTGAAAAGTAAGGCATATGGCAACTCCCTTTGACTGAAGAGGATTTTCTTGTAGTAAACTGCCCTAGCTAATGGAAATGAAGGATTTTATGTCTAAAGCCAAATAGAAAAGATGTACATTTGTGTCAGGATAACTGATGCAAAACTAAACTGAGCAAAAGAGAAATAATAAAGTCAAAGACAAGATGATAGAAAGATACTAAAAAGTGCAGTGGAAACAACAGAAGTAGGTTTTGTGGCAGAGACTAACTTGGGGGCAGGGCAAGCTATACAATTTGTTCAAAACAGGGAAAATGTTTTATTTTCTTGTTTCATGTTCTTTCTTGATGCGTCATGGTGTTTTTTAAAGAATCGTCATTGAATGCCATGGTCACTCAAGTATAGGGATAGCCCTGAGGTAAGTGCACACCCTGTCAGTGCTGTGCACCCTCCTTGCCTCATAATTCCAACTTGGCACTTAGGTGTACATACATAAGTCCAACTAATCCTGCCTCTGTGCTGCGAATGGAGCGAAGCAGTGGTCTCTGGGTGGCTGCAGAGAAGCAGGCACCTGAGAACCAATCCCGGGGAGGTTGGGCGGATAGCAGGAGATGTGAGACGTGGCTTCAAGGCCCAGACACATAATTCTTTGTCTCATTGAACTTCACTGACAAAACACTAATTCACAGCTAAAATTAGAATTTCAAGTTGGCAATTACAGAATATGAAACCTCAAGTAGGGGGGTCCACTTCTGAACAAGGGACTACCCTTGCTCAGAAGAGCATTGCACTGTCCAAATGTCCACCAATCCAACCTGTCTTGAGGATGAAATTTCTATTGGGGCAAACGGGGAGGCTTCACAGAGGAGGGAGCAAATGGGTCACAACTGATGGGAATGAGGCCATGATGCCAAGATCTGGGAGAACAGAGCTCCTAGCAGGAGGAATGCCAAGAGCACACTTGAGATGGGTAAAAGCTTAGGTAAATTTGAAGAACAGAAAGAGGGTCAGCATAGCTGAAGCCTAGTCAGTGAGGGTGGGGATTGGGAAGTGGAAGGATATGAAATCAGGGAGAGCTAGTTAACAAAACATATGGTTATATACAATATATACTGTTTTGTATAATATATTGTACACCTGTTTTAAGTATGACCTTGGTCTAGGAGACTGAAAACTTCTTATGGATATGACCAAATTTATTTCATTTTTCCTTTGAAATATTTATTAAAAAGTCTACTGTAGTGCAGTATTTTCAAACTATGCTTTTGTTATTATTTGAAGGAGAAAAGTAACCAAAGAATTTCCTATCTTTTTCCCAACTTTTTTGCTTCTGGCCAAATTTGTCTTACTTTGATGTTAACTGTGCATTTTTGAAGTTATTATATGAGTTAATTTCAATGTCAGATTCAATATAACCATGGATAGCCCTTGCTCATGAAGAATATTGTGTATTCCGACTTTATGATAAAAGTACTCTAACATTTCCTGGTGTGTTCCATCTCTCGTTTCTTTCTGCTTTATCATTTCTACTGCATAAATTATCTTCTTTTAATAGACCAACCATGGTCTGCCACTTCCCTGTTCGAAAGCCTTTATTGACTACATTTTGCACATGTGATAATTACTCTGTATGGGTCACTTGGTTGCAAAAGGTCTCAGGCTATGATATATCATGTAATTCATGCTCTAACCTTTTGGTACTCTCCTTAGTTCTGAAGAAATCTTTGACTTTCTTGTCCCCATGTCTTGATTCAAGCCATTTCTTTTGTTTGGAAGGATTTCTTCTGCATTCTCATTCTCAACCCTGTATGGCTTGCTATGCATAATCTCTTGCAGATCAGTTCACACCCACCCCTTGCAAGAAGCCTTCCTGAGTCCCTCTGATGGTAATTCAACCCTTCCCACCCCACTACACACATACAGTAGTTCCCCCTTATCTATGAACGTTAGGCTCCAAGACCTCCAGTGGATGCCTGAAACCGTAGATAGTAGCAGACCAAGTTGCCATCAACCAGAACACGTTTCTGCTCATGTCTTCTACCCACAAATTAATGCCTTTTCCATCTTAACTAAGCACTTACCATGCACTGTGGCTGTCAATTTTGCAGTTTAATATGCAGCAGCAAAACTAGCATGCATTTTTTTTCCTTCCTCACAATTTCACAGGTAGAAGATTCATTCTTACCATAGATCTTAGAAATTGTATGCCTAGAAACTTCAGCATGCAATTTCTTTTCTTTCTCATTAAGTAGAGAACTTTCACCTTTTCACTTAAAGGAAGCACTCGCAGCTTCTTTTTTTCTGAATTGGGAAGGCTATGTCTCCTACCAAACTTAATAATTCTGATTTTCCGTAAATATTTAATGAAGTCAGTAGACTATTTCTATGCTCTCATTAACGCCTCAGAAACATAAGCAGGACAAAATTTCTCTCTTTTGCAGGCAAGGCCATACCTTTTTTCATTCTGTCATATTTATTCATCACAGATGTAGAATTTCCAGTTCGGCAGGGATATCACTTAATGTATTCTGTGTCCACTCCCTTGTTTTGTTCTTCCTCACATGTAACTGAAATACCTTTTCCCTTTGCCCATTTATATATGTGGAGTTCATCTGCTAGTTTGTATCTGATTATCAGTTTTTATGTATTTCCTATTTTGTGCAATTGTTGTGTCTTTTCTTACAGAATTCAGAAAAGACATGACCAAATAACAATATTAGTACATAGATAGTTGTTGGTAACTATTAACTAAATTAATTTGATATATTTTGATTAGAGAACATACTCATTTTGTTTCTTTTCTATTTTTTTTTTAAAGAAACGATCAGGTTTTTTTCTGGAAAACAAACCTACCTACCAACTTTGGAAGGCTGGTTACTATATTGTGGTGTACTTCCCAGAGAAAGATATCACTATTCTTTGGGATAGGAAGACAACTATTCATATCAAAGTTGGGCCACAGTGGAAGGTAAGTCAACCTAAGCTCCAAATGAGATGCAATGAATAAAATCACATTTACTTTTTGATGTTTGATGAAAATAAAATGATTAATGTTTTTCTTTAAGAAGTAGTTTATATTTTCAGAATTACTAACTCATACCCTTGTGAAAAAGTACTTTGCCAACTAAGTACAGCATTTGTGTACAGTTCTTTTTGACTTTAACCTTGCAGTTTCCAGTTTTCCAAGGTACATAGGCCAGCTTCCTTCTCTCTTTCTTCAGCTTGATTATGTGATCTGTTCTTGATACAACTAGATTCCATTCTTACAATTTGCGTTCTATGTTTTTCTCCACATTCTGGATATTCTTTTTAAGTTTACATGCAGTAAAATTATTTTTAAAATGTAAAAAAATTTACTCTTATTGTGTCCAGGTCTACGGATTTTGACAAATGCATTGTGTTAGTACATTTTCACACTGCTATAAAGAACTACCTGACACTGAGTAATTTATAAAGAAAAGAGGTTTAATTGACTCACAGTTCTGCATAACTGGGGAGGCCTCAGGGAACTTACAATCATGGTGGAAGGCAAAGGAAAAGCAAGCACCTTCTTCACAAGGTGTCAGGAAAGAGAGAACGTGAGAAGGAAATGCCACACTTTTAAACCATCAAATCTTGTGAGAACTCCCTCACTATCACAAGAACTGCTTGGGGGAAACTACCCCCATGATTCAGTCACCTCTCACCATGTCCTTCCCTTGACATGTGGGGATTGTAATTCGAGATGAGATTTGAGTGGGGGCACGGAGCCAAACCATATTATACATGGAGCCTTGTATCCACCGCAACTGTTCTACATAGAACATACCTATCAACCTGCAGATTTACTTCATGTTGCTTCTTTATTGTCAACCCCTATCTTTACCTTGTAACCTCAGACAACCACTGATTATATTTTCCACTGCTATGGTTTTACCTTTATCAGACATCATATAAATGGAATTGCACAATGTATAGTCTTTTGGGTCTGGCTTCTTTGACTTGGCAAAGTATATTTAAGATTTATATAAGTTGTTGTATGAATTTTATACTGCTGGGTAGTATTATGTTGTACGGATGTACCACACAGTTTATTTATCCATTCCTGGTTGAATATCCAATCTGAGTTGCTTACAATTTTTGGCAATTTACATTTTAAATTATTTTATATACTATTCCCTGTTGCATATTTTTATTAAATATTGTTAAGTAGTTTACTATTTAAAATATTTAAGATTTGATTAAATATTTTGAATATTTATTTGAATATTTTAAATTAATATATTAAAGTTGTTTTCAAAATACTGATGTATTTTTTAAACTCTAGTTTGTCTGAAATTGAGACTGAGACTCGTGGATATGATTTTTGTCAAATTAGAGAAAAATTAGAATTGCAACAGTATCTTCTCAAAAATATAGAAAAGATACATTTAAAAAAGATTTTGATATGTTGTAAATGTAAGATATGATTGTATATTGAAGTTATAGTCTTTCAATTTTAAGAAGAATAAAGCCTGAAGATCTATCTATTCTTAGGTATGGTAGCATCTTGCACTTCTTTGATGAATCTGAAATAACCTTTAGTCATTGCTGTCTTTCTTCAACTAATATTCTTCGCTGTTCATCCTATATCCTTGTTTCCAACAGGAATAAGAATATATTTTACTAGTAGATGAAGGAGGAGAACTTGCAGTGATATTTCCTAAAAGCAATAGAATCACTCCTTAAAACCTTGAATTTAAACATGCTGAACGCTCTCTTCAATATTGAAGAATAGAATGCATCCCTTATTGGTGAAGTAGGCTGCCTATGTCTCTGGCAAAGCAGGCAATAATCATAGAATTACATCTGCTATAACCACTTATTTCCATGGGGCCTCTGTTTTCAGAGATCACATCTGTTCAAAGACAGTGGCCACTAACAGTAGTTATCCTAAAGCTGAGGCATCAGGAAGGGGGATGTGGAAAAACAAATGGTTAACTTGTTTTCAACAAGTGGGCAATATGATATATTCCAGCAAGTAGGGAATATATCTGCCATTCTTCATTCTATATCCTTGTTTCTAACAAGGATGGGAATGTATATAATTATGAGTTATATATATATATATATATATATATGCATGAATTATGTATAAACACACATATACACTTGTATACACATACACTTTCATATGTACTGTATTATTTGAATTAAACTTTTCCAAGTTATTTATGTTATCAGTTGTATTAATGCTAAGACACTGGTAAGTGTGGATAAATAGGACTTGAAATTGGGTAAAATATTTCTGTAAATTTAAAATAATCACCAACTATAATTCAATTGGCGTAAGAAAATCCACTTTGTTCAAGTTAATTTTTTAAAATGATTGATCTAAAAATTCTTAAATGTATATTTGAAATGTCTCAAAAATTTTAATGAATATGAGTCCTTAAATGTTACAGTGATTATAGACTATTTCCTGGTGATTTTCTCTTACTTTAGAACAAGCTATCAGGGTTGTGTGGAAACTTTGATAAATGTACTTCAAATGATATGACCACATCTAATAACTTGGAAGTGAGAAATGCTCAGGTATTTGGAGATAGTTGGGCATTAGGACAGGTAAGTTACATAAATGTATTTTAGAAGTCAACAAAAATTTTTAAGAATATTTTTCACTAGAACATTTTATTCTTATTTAGGTAATATTATTTTACATACTATTTTCATAGTAATTTATAGCTGATAAACTTGCATATTTATCTTCTCATGTAATTTTTCTGATAACTTTATCATATAGAGGATGTTGTCTCCTTATTATAGATGAAGAAATTGAGGATCAGGGAAGTTAAAGGCCTTGTCTAATATTATATGGCCAGAAAGTAGCAGAGGTGACATTCAAATTCTTCTCCGTCATGTTTTCCTCACCATAGCAAATTGCATTATCAATGTATCTGCATTTTAAAGGATGTTAGAACTTTTGCCAGCTCAAATAAATAAATAAATGAAGACAGAATTTCTTAACAGTCATGTTATTAGTATTACATGAAATGAAGGGGGACACGTGTGTGTGTGTGTGTGTGTGTGTGTGTGTGTGTGCGCGTGTGTGTGTGTAGGTTGTGGTCAACTGCCTTTGGCAGCAGTTAGATAAATTAATTTTGACATATTTATCTTTTAAAGGGTTTCTTGAGGCATTGTAAGCCTATAAAGGAGAGATATGTTTGAAGGATTTTCCAAACTTACTGACAGAATCTATATTTTATTTATTAATTCTCAAGGAAATAGTGTTATGTGAAACACATTTTGAAAAATGATGAGCTAACTCAGAAAACAGTGTCAAATTGGAAATTGGTTCTATTCTTTCTTCTACTTTCTTTTTAGCCTATTGTTCTTTTTAATTGATAGGAGTGTTTGATAGGAAATCACAGTTTCCTGATTGGTTACCATTTGGTTCGTTACTTCTGTATTTTGCCTAGTTTACTAATATGTCTAAATATCTTTAAAGAATAAAGAGGGGATGGAGTAAAACATTTATTCCATTCAGTAATATTTGAGTGTGGTCTAAGCTTAAGAGTACAAAATTGTACTTTTTAATATCTAAAATATCTACTATATTGAGAGAGACAAAATCCTTTTAATTGTGGCTATCTTATTTTTTTACCTTTAGACTTTTTTGAAAAAAAAATCATTTTACATTTTTTCTATCTGCAAATGAATTAAGATGTAACTAATTTCTAGTGATACTTAAATATTTGGTGTAGTCAAATAATTTTACAACCCCTCAGAATGAGTTTGTTATTCATACTTGATGACAAAGCTAGAATTCATATCATTTAAAAAAAAAATTCATGGCTGGGCACAGTGGCTGACGCCTGTAATCCCAGCACTTTGGGAGGCCAAGGTGGGCAGATCACCTGAGGGCAGGAGTTTGAGACCAGCCTGGCCAATATGGTGAAACCCTGTCTCTACTAAAAATACAAAAATTAGCCGGGTGTCATAGCAGGTGCCTGTGATCCCAGGTACTCAGGAGGCTGAGACAGGAGAATCACTTGAACCCAGGAAGTGGAGGTTGCAGTGAGCCAAGATTGCACTACTGCACTCCAGCCTGGGCAACAAAGAGTGAAATCCATCTCAAAAAAAAAAAAAAAAATTCACTACCTTTTATATAACACTTAATGTTTTCCATTACATACAGACACAATATGGATACATCACAGTCTTTGCCTTTAAGGAATTTAGAGTCTATAGGTGGAAAATTTAGAGGTGGAAATGTTAACAGTTAGAACATAGTAAGATAGTTGCTTTGATAGAAGTGCACACAAAGCAGGGATTGTGATGGTCCAAGAAAGGTTCCTGGAAAAGTCACCCTGGAGATGACTCTTATAAGATTTATAGGAGCTAAGAAAGTAAAATTTATGGGAAAGAATATAACAGGCAAAGGAGGGAGCAGCCACCTAGAAGATGTCAGGCTGGAGAGAGTGTGGTACGTAAAGTGAATTTCAAGAAGTTCATTTTGGATGTGGTGTAAGGTTTGAAATAGATAATAGCTGAAATGCAAAGTATAGATCTGCAAGATACAAGAGCCAAGAGGAAATATTAAGAGCCAGCTAGAAATATTAAGTCAGTAGAGATTTAGAAAACGGTATAAATTTGGGAAGCATTAATGATAAAAATCATTAGCATCTGCTGAAAGACTGTATTAGGAAGGATGAATTTGGAGGTTTCAAGAAGTCTCCGACTTTCCTGGCTTACTAGGAAGATGTTGCTTTTTCTCCCCGAGGCAGGGCAAAGAGGAGGCAATGAATATGGATAGCCGGGGAAGGACAATGGTGTAGGTAGGGATGGTTAAGATCTGCTGAGAGAGAATGACAGAGATATTTAGGTGGAAATGTCCAGTTTTGAAATTCAGGAAGGAGATGTTGGATGGACATATGGATTTTGCAGTTACTAATATATTCAGGGCATTGAAGCCAGGACACAAGTACAGAATGAGAAAAATAGAGATTTGAGGATTAAGCTTTGCAAAGAAAGGAAGGAGAAAGAAATTAGGGAACAACAGCCAATGTAAGGAAACCCAGCAGAAAATTATGTTACTAAAACCAAATGAGGAGAGACATTTAACAAGGGTAAAGTATTAAATAGAATCAAAGGCAGCAAAAGTCAAGCAAGATGGAAGACTGAAAAATTGCCTTTATATTTAGTAATGAAGAGGTCATAGATGATATTTTTTTCAGGGCAGTGTCAGGGAAGTGGATTAGGGAAGGAAGAGGCCAAACTGCTGCATGTATGGGAATTGAGTCTGCAGAGATTTGAGTACATATAACCCCTCAGACGATTTGTGACAGAAATGAAGGAGATGAAAATGAAAGAAAGAGATCATGCTCATGTAATTTTTAAGGCATGCAAATGTTGTGTTTAAGAGAATTTAAAAATCATCTATCACCACTCTATCTCTAATATTGCCATGACTTTATTATTCTGTTTAGTTGCGTTCAAAAGTAATATATGCAATTAACATTGAATTGAATGTGAGCAGGTGCTTTATGCAAATCCTATCTAAAAGAATGAGAATGTATTAGGTGCAATTGTAATGAGTGAAGTCGGGTAGGTTACTCTGCTTGAGAAATTATCCCTTTAAAAACTTCTTTTCTCTCTCAAATTTTTTTGACAGTGTGAAAATCCAGATGAAATGATTAAACCCTGTGAGGCACATCAAAACAAATTTCCTTATGCCAAGAAAGAATGCTCCATTTTGTACAGCGATGTTTTTGCTTCTTGCCGCAATGTGGTAAATGAACACTTCTAACATCTACCACCTAACTATTGTCAGGGGGACATAAGTGTTGGTTTGTTTTTCTGTAGAAGTGGTGCATTTAGTTGATTTACTTTCTCCCTCACTCCATCTAATTTAACAGTTTACCTTTGTACATATTTGTAATAATTTGTTCTAGTTTATGGAACATTATTTACATATATCATTTTATGATTAAGAGTATAAATGTTTATTTTTCTTTGGAGAACACTGCCAAATGGGCATTCTTCTCAACTCAACGTATAGTTTAAAAGTATTGCTTTTAGAACATTTGAAATGGTTTTAGAAGCGCATCCTAAGATGGAATGTAACTTATATAGAAATTTCACTTTCAAAACTCCTTCCTAGCGTCATTATTTTAGGTCCCAATAGAAGTTTAAACGATATTTCAATGTATTGGTAAAAATCAAGTAACATTTCTGCTGTATACAAAGCTAGGTCTTGAGAGAAATCATTGGTGTGATTGTTTGAGTTGTGAGCTAAGTCGGTTGTTTTTCTTGGAATACCATTCTATTTCAAAGAATAAAATGACATATGGTTATTCAGACATTCAGACAGGGGTACTTGACAGATATTTTTCCTCCCTTCATTCCTTCCTTCCTTCCTTCCTCCCTCCCTCCCTTCCTTCCTTCTTTCCTTCCCTTCCTCCCTCCCTCCCTTCCTTCCTTTCTTCTTTCCTTCCTTCCTCCCTCCCTCACTCCCTTCCCCCTTCCTTTCTCCCTTCCTTCCTTTCTTCTTTCCTTCCTTCCTCCCTCCCTCACTCCCTCCCTTCCTTCCTTTCTCTCTTCCTTCCTTTCTTCTTTCCTTCCTTCCTCCTTCCCTCCCTCCCTTCCTCCCTCCCTTCCCTCCCTCCCTCCTTCCTTCCTTCCTTCCTTCCTTCCTTCCTTCCTTCCTTCCTTCCTTCTTTCTGTCTTCCTTTTCCTTTTTTTTTTGGTCTCGCTCTGTCATCCAGGCTGGAGTGCAGTGGCGTGATCTCAGCTCAGCTCACTAGAACCTCTGCCTCCCAGGTTCAAGCAGTTTTTCTGCCTCAGCCTCCCAAGTAGCTGGGATTATGTGATCATGGTAAAACTCAGCCTCTACTAAAAATATAAAAATTAGCCATTACGCTCAGCTAATTTTTGTATTTTTGGTAGAGGTTGGGTCTTACCATGTTGACCAGACTGGTCTGGAACTCCTGACCTCAGATAATCCGCCCACTTTGGCCTCCCAAAATCTTGGGATTACAGCGGTGAGCCACTGCGCCAAGCTGGTATTTTCTTAAAATGAGTGAAATGAGTCTGTGGCTTTAAGGAAACACCCGATGGTGTCTGTTGTCTTTGACAAAATTTACTTTCAAAGAAAAATTAGAGTTTTGTAAAAGTTAGATCCATTCCTGCGACCTTATGAGGTTTTTTTTTATACTTAAGGAGTTTTTTGATGATCTAGATGATAATATTAACAAATATGACTTGTAGCTATTGTATATAATTAAATATGTCAACATTTCAAAGATCTGCACAGGTCCATAAATTTTCCACATGGCTAGTGCATGATGTTACAAAATCATGCGGAAGTAAAACATCCACTCAAATAAAAAATTTTAGTACAGCAAAATATAAAGTTTATTAATAAGGTTTTAGACTTCACATTGCGGTGAACTTTTAAGAAAACAATATTTTTTGAGTTTTGATACAGTAGCAAAGAATATCACAATTACCTGAAAAAGATATTAAAGTACTCCTTTTCCAACTAAATATATGTGTGGAACTGAATTTTCTTCATCTACTTCAACCCAGATCCAAACAAGACAAAAACATTATGATAGACCAGATGAAGAAGCAGATATGAGAATTCAGCTGTGTGATATTAAGCCACACATTAAAGAGATTTGCAAAAAATGCACAACAGTGCACTCTTCTCACTATTTTTTGGGATAATAACACTAAAACCATGTTATTCATGTTAACATATAATGAGTTTACTGTTGTTATTTTTTAAGTGTCTCATTTAAAATGTCTAATAGAGTAAATATTGGTAGATATAATCCCACAAACAAAACCTCTTTGGGGATCTCAGTGATTTTTTTATAGTGTAAAGGGATTCTGAGACAGAAAAGTTTGAAGACTGCAATTTTAGAAGCATGTAGATAAACTAAAGTCTTGTCTAAAAAGGGTTACTTTTGAGACTTTTCAGAGTTTCCAAGGACCACAGTTGCTTGACAAGTAATATTGTGTCAAGTCCTGAACCACAGAGGCTGCTGGTTCTTTTCCACTTGAAAAGAAAAATTAACCCATGAACTGACCTACAAAATAAAATACAGCTCAGTGGCACAAAAACCTGCTTCTTCTTTTCTTTTCTTTTTTTTTTTTTTTGAGATGGCGTAGGCAGTGACTTGATATACAGCCTCCATCTTTCAGGGTCAAGTAATTCTGCCTCAGTGTCCCACAGCTGGGACTACAGGCATGTGCCACCATGCTCAGCTAATTTTTGTATTTTTAGTAAAGACGAGGTTTTACCATGTTGACCAGGCTTGTCTTGAACTCCTGACCTCAAGTGATCCACCTGCCTCATCCTCCCAAAGTGCAGGGATTACAGGCATGAGCCATAGCACCTGGTCCCTTGGTTCTTCTTCTTCTTCTTCTTTTTTGTTTTTTTAACACATTGTCAATATATTAAAATTTGTCAGCTACTTAACTATAATGCAAATAAAATAAATAGATTAATAAATAGGATAAGTTTTTTTTAAAAGACTGCTGTTACCATTAATAGCAATTAGAATAGGGACAAAAAAGAAAGGAAAGAAAGAAGGAAGATAGAAAACTACATAAAATTGTAATTGGAAGCAGAAGATGCCCTTCTTTTAATGCCATGTGCATATACTAGTAATGAAAGAAGCTTCCAAAAAAGTAATCTGTTATGTTGCAGATGTTGAAGTTACATGTATTTATTAATCTTATTATTTCTTTTGCTAGTTATTTGATGTGACATTTTCCTAATACATTTCTTTCCCCTTTGGGCAATAAAAAGGTTTGAAATAAAGAGAATTCTCTAGGTGGCAGTGTTAAGCTGATAATATCAAATTTTGAAAACGCATAGTTTTCTTTTAGAGGGCTGACTTTAAATCTTAATCAGTATCTATTGAAATTAAGTAATCTTTCACCTCATTTTTCAGATTGATGTTACTTCTTTTGCCAAAAATTGTCATGAAGATACATGTAACTGTAATCTTGGTGGGGACTGTGAGTGTCTGTGCACTAGTATAGCTGCATATGCATACAAGTGTTGTCAGGAAGGAATATCAATTCATTGGAGGTCATCTACTGTTTGTTGTGAGTATCCTACTTAGACCATCATTATGTAAAGACCTGATACAGAAATACATATTAATTGTTGGTTTATCTTAGAAATAATTGCCAGAAAACTCATGGAGATAGAATCAAATCAAAATGACTAAATTTTATATTCCTTTGACAATAATAAATTATAGAATACCAAAAGGACTTATAAAAATAAATTATAATATTTTGTTCTGTGTTTGATTAGTCACTATACCATTTGAAATATAAATTATACACCATCCTTAGAGAAATTGTTTATGACTTTAATGTTTATATGCTTATGAAGTTTCATTGTTCTGATGATAAGAAACATGTTTTTAAAAAATCACCTTGAATTTGCTTCAAGATTTGACTAAACTTTTAATTTAGTTGTGTAGGTGGTAAAACATCTGAACAAACTTACAGTTTGAACACTTTCAGTTGACCTTTCTAAATTGGCAGATACATTTTCCTACCTTAAAACAATTATATGAAATTTAATTAATTATACTACGTCACTTAAATAATCTGTTTTTCTCAGAAAAAGTTCCTAAGTAATACCCTTCCATATTCTTTCACATAGTTATTGACAAATATGTGGCTATATCAAGCCTACATTCAGATAAGTGATTGGCTTCTTATGTAGTTTAATATGTATTCTTTTTTTCTTTTAGCACTTGATTGTGAATACTACAATGAAGGTATGTGACATTCGAATTAAAAATATCACTATTCTATTGGGTGTATTTTCAGATTAAAAGTTTTTAAACAACTTGTGCTGTGAACAAACTATAAATTGTTTATAACTTGGTGTATAACTCCATAAAAGCTTTTCATTTTTAAAATTTTAAAAAATTTCTAAGTATTCGTGCTAAGATTTATTTCCCAAAAACTAAAATAATGTGTAACTTAAGTTCTCAGCATTTAAGAGCCCTCAGTACAGTTTCAGAATGACATGAATGAATGGATGGGTGAAGTTAGTTAATTTTTTAGATCAAAAGCATAACTTTACCATTAATAAATGTAAACATTGTTCAAATTTTTAAAAAAATTTTATTTTATTTTTAAATTGACACATATAATTGTATATATTTATGGGGTAGGTACAATTTGTGTTTTGATACATGTGCACATTGTGGAATGATCAAATCAGACTAATTAGCATATCGATCACCTCAAATATTTACCATTTCTTTGTGGTGAGAACATTTAAGTTTCTTTCTTTTAGCTATTCATTCTTTAAAAATCAAGAAATTCTATCATTTGCAACAACATGGATGAACCTTGAGAACATTGTGCTAAGCGAAATAAGTCAGGCACAGTGAGACAAATATGATGTGATTTCACTTATTTGCAAAATCCAAAAAAGTTGAATTTTTAGAAATAGAGAGTAGAATGGTGTTACTGGAGGCTGGTGGTGGAAAAGAGGACAGGGAAAGGCCAGATGTTGGTCAAAGGACAAAAAGTGTCAAGTAGATGGGAGGAATAAGTTCTCTTATCTATTGCACAGCATGGTGACTATAGTCACATTTTTCTTATGTTGTGGAAATCAAAGAAACAAAGTATAAATGTAATTATGTAAGAATTAACATAAGGATTTTATTTTGACATGATTATAGGCAATAATCATTCTTTACATTTTATTGGAATGAGAACTTACTGATAAAATAATAATGAAGATCTCCTGGTCTCAGCAAACATCCAGATTTGCAATAAGAAATCTGAGAGGTGTTGCTGTCTAAAACTAAGGCATAGATGTAAGAAAAGATAGAGAATTACATCTTTAAGGAAAATGCTTGAATTTGGCAGAATTGGAGTCTTTTTCTCAAATCTATTTAATGAGGAAGGCACAGGCACCAAAACCTAATTCAGACAAGTAAGGTGATCTAGGGAAGTATCCATTTAGTCAGTAACTGGGCAAACCCTGGACCCATGATGGATGTGTCAGTTAGAATAATAGTTACAGGAAATCTGGGCCAAGCAACCAATCTGAGGCACTTCAGGTGGCTTATTAGACTAGGAAGAAATTCGACAGCTAGATAATTTTAGAGAAATAGATATAATGAATTAAAAAGAAAATGAGAATTTTTTATTTTAGTTATATTTGTTTTATTTATGGATGTTTGTTAGAGGAGACAAATTCAACATTTAAAAATATCTGTGGTAGTTAAAGAAAATCTAAGTAACAATATTTCCTGTTCAAGATTTTAAAGAGACTGCCACACACATGCATGCATACACGTACACACACACACACTCCACATTATTGGATTCCATAATTAAAATGCAATTTATTGTCTAATAATAATAACAGTAGCTTTTCTTGTGTTAACTGCTTTCTTTATATTATATAATTTAAACATCAAAATATGTTATTTTATTTTATTGTCAGCATTTTACTATTATCAACACTTTACAGAAGAAATTGAAGCAAAAAGAAGAGATCAAATAGCTTTGCCAAATTCACTTAGCCAAAATGTGGCAAACTGGGATTTGTAAACAGTTTTACTTCAGAGCCAGTGAGCATGATTTCCGTGCTACATGGACTACTGTATGGTTAATACATCCTAGTGTAGGGATGATCACCACACATTGTTACCACAGGTTCTACATAGTACACAGAGAACAATCTGAGAAAATGCTTCAATAACTTCCTCACTAAAAAAATTCCTGACTCACCCAGTTCTGCTATGACAATCTCCATCTGTGCCTTTGTACTTTCTGGCATTTATTCTGCAGACTTGTGGACCTAGAAGCAGAATTTTCTATACGTATTGAATCACTCTACCTCTTGCTACATTTTGCTCTCTGTTAACAAGTCCGCTGCACTTCTAGCCATGGTTCGTTCTTCTAATGTGCTACAGAATCCTTCAAACTTATTCTTCTAGTTCATTTATAATACTGTATTGATAATATCAGAGAGTGAACATGGGGCATTTGGCCTTCATGAGACTAATAGGCTCAGTAGAGTGGCAGGAAAATAAATTTCCTATGATCAGAGTAATAGGGAAAGGCATCAACATGCCAAGGGAAGTCAGAATTTGTAAAAGCAACACAACAATGATTGAAGGAGAATATAAAATTTTGATGATTGTGGAAAGTAATAATAAAAAGAAAATGATTTCAAATGGTTATTCTTAATTTGTTTCATCCCAAATAATTTCACGCTATTGTAAATTTACCTAGTCCTTTTTGGGCATTTATAGCTGGAATATTGCCTCTTTCTTTATTTGCTACATGCCAGACACTATGTTATTAAGATACTTATAATATTTAAAGCACATGCATAAATAAATAATTGTGATTCTGTAGGAAGAATTTTAAAAAGTATTAGGAGAATTTAAAAGTTATTGTTGAGATTATTTCAATAATCCTTAGTACAATTATTCTATATATCTTTGTATTCATTTATATGACTTAAACTAAAAACGTAAAGCTTGCATTTGAAATGCTATTTCTGTAGATGAGGGAGAACTTCAATTTCCTATTAAAATTGTCATGTGATTTTTAAGTTCAGAGTAATTTTATTAGATAGGATATGCTTATTTCTGTTTTTAAAGGATCACTGCAGGAAATGATTGCTTTCAGTAGATGGTGAAATTACACCTCTCTCTGCAGAAAATTAATGATAAGATCAATGACTTTTGTCTCTCAGTTGCTGACAAAAATAGTCCAGAATCAAGCTGCCAATTAACTGAGAGTCAATTCAAAAGCTTTAGGTTTTTGTATAAACAGATTTCTCAGTTGGAAATTGTCTTTTCAGGTTGCTGTATTAGGGGGCGTGTGCAGCAGGGGAGAGATTTTATTTCACTGTCCGTCTCCTTTCTCATTCTTATGCTGAATATTCATGAGGGTGCTTCAAGCCCTCAAGTTGTAGTTATATACACATCTTTTTCATTTTGAATTGTATCTCATTATAATTATCTTATTATTTGTATATTATTTCCATATTTGTACAAATATACATATTTATACTTTGAAGCATATTTGCATCTTGGAGGTTTGTGTCACTTTCTTATTTGTTTATTTATTTTATTTATTTTTTTAATTATACTTAGGTTCTGGGGTATAGTGCAGATCATGCAGGATTGTTGCATAGGTATACACATGGCAATGTGGTTTGCTGCCTCCATCCCCCCATCACCTACATCCGACATTTCTCCCCATGTTATCCCTCTCAGACCTTGCCATCTCCCACTGTCCCTTCCTTGGCATCCCCAACAGACCCTAGTGTGTGATGCTCCCCTCCCTGTGTCCATGTGTTCTCATTGTTCAACACCTGCCTATGAGTGAAAACATGTGGTGTTTGGTTCTCTGTTCTTGGGCCAGTATGCTGAGAATTATGGTTTCCAGATTCATCCATGCTTCTATAATGGGCACAAACTCATCATTTTTTATGGCTGCATAGTATTCCATGGCATATATGTGCCACATTTTCCTTGTCCAGTCTATCATTGATGGGTATTTGGGTTGGTTCCAGGTCTTTGCTATTGTAAACAGTGCCACTGTGAATAAACTTGTGCATGTGTCTTTATAATAGAATGATTTATAATCCTTTGGGTATGTACCCAGTAATGGGATTGCGGGGTCAAATGGAATTTCTATTTCTAGGTACTTGAGAAATTTCCACACTGTCTTCCACAATTGTTGAACTAGTTTAAACTCCCACCAACAGTGTAAAAGTATTACTATTTCTCCACATCCTCTCCTGCATCTGTTGTCTCCAGATTTTCTAATGATCACCATTCTAACTGGCATGAGGTGGTATCTCAATGTGGTTTTGATTTGCATTTCTCTAATAATCAGTGATGATGAGCATTTTTTCATATGTTTGTTGGTCTCATATATGTCTTCTTTTGAAAAGTGTCTGTTCATATCCTTCGCCCACTTTTGGATGGGTTTGTTTGTTTTTTCTTATAAATCTGTTTTAGTTCTTTGTAGATTCTGGTTATTAGCCCTTTGTCAGATGGGTAGATTGCAAAATTTTTTTCCCATTCTGTTGGTTGCTCATTCATTCTAATGATTATTTCTCTTGCTGTACAGAAGCTCTGGAGCTTAATTAGGTTCCATTTGTTTATTTTGGATTTTGTTGCCATTGCTTTTGGTGTTTTAGTCATGAAGTCCTTGCCTATGCCTATGTCCTGAATGGTTTTGCCTAGGTTTTCTTCTAGGGTTTTTATGGTGTTAAGTCTTATGTTTAAGTCTTTAATCTATCTGGAGCTAATTTTAGTGTAAGGTGTCAGGAAGGGGTCCAGTTTCTGCTTTCTGCACATAGCTAGCCAGTTTTCCCAACACTATTTATTAAGCAGGGAATCCTTTCCTCATTGCTTGTTTTTGTCTGGTTTGTCAAAGATCACATGGTTGTAGATGTGTGGCATTGCCTCCAAGGCCTCTGATCTGTTCCATTGATCTATATCTCTGTTTTGGTACCAATACCATGCTGTTATGATTACTGTAGCCCTGTAGTATAGTTTGAAATCAGGTAGCACGATGCCTCCAGCTTTGTTCTTTTTGCTTAGGATTGTCTTAGCTATGCAGGCTCTCTTTTGGTTCCATATGAAGTTTAAAGTGTTTTTTTCCAGTTCTGAGAAGAAGCTCATTGGTAACTTGATGGGGATAGCATTGAATCTACTAATTACTTTGGGCAGTATGGCCATTTTCACGATATTGATTCTTCCTCTCCATGAGCATGGGATGTTTCTCCATCTGTTTGTGTCCTCTCTTATTTCCTTGAGCAGTGGTTTGTAGTTCTCCTTGAAGAGGTCCTTTACATCCTTTGTTAGTTGTATTCCTCGGCATTTTATTCTCTTTGTAGCAATTGTGAATGGGAGTTTGCTCATGATTTGGCTCTCTGTTAGTCTGTTATTGGTGTATAGAAATGCATGTGATTTCTGCACATTGATTTTGTATCCTGAGACTTTGCTGAAGTTGCTTATCAGTTTAAGTAGATTTTGAGCTGAGATGATAGTCTTCTAAATATACAATCATGTCGTCTGCAAATAGAGATAATTTGACTTTCTCTTTTCCTAATCGAATACCCTTTATTCTCTTTTTCTTGCCTAATTGCTCTGGCTAGAACTTCCAGTACTATATTGAATAGGAGTGGTGAGAGAGGGCATCCTTGTCTAGTGCTGGATTTCAAAGGGAATGCTTCCAGTTTTTGCCCATTCAGTATGATATTGGCTGTAGATTTGTCGTAAATAGCTTTCTTTGTTTTGAGATATGTTCCTTCAAAACCTAGTCTATTGAGAGTTTTTAGCATAGTAAAGGGCTGTTGAATTTTGTTGAAGGCCTTCTCTGCATCTATTGAGATAATCATGTTGTTATTGTCTTTGATTCTGTTTATGTGGTGGATTACATTTATAGACTTGCATATGTTGAACCAGCCTTGCATCCCTGGAATGAAGCCTACTTGATCCTGATGGATAGGTTTATGATGTGGTGTTGCAATTGATTTGTCAGCATTTTATTGTAGATTTTTGCATCTATGTTTATCATGGATATTGGCCTGAAGTTTTCTTTTCTTGTTGAGTCTCTGTTGAGTTTTGGTATCAGGATGATATTGGTCTCATAAAATGATTTGGGAAGGGTTCCCTCTTTTTGTATTGTTTGGAATAATTTCAGAAGGAATGGTACCAGCTCCTCTTCATACATCTGGTAGAATTCAGCTGTGAACCTGTCTGGACCTGGAGTTTTTTTTGTTGGTAGGCTATTAATTGCTGCCTCAACTTCAACCCTTGTTATTGGTCTATTCAGGATTTCAACTTCTTCCTGGTATAGGCTTTGGAGGGTTCAAGTGTCCAGAAATTTATCCATTTCTTCCAGGTTTACTGGTTTATGTGCATAGAGTTTTTTGTAGTAATCTCTGGTTGTAGTTTGCATTTCTGTGGAATCAGTGGTGATATCCCCTTTATCGTTTTTTTATTGCATCAATTTGATTCTTTACCCTTTTCTTTTTTATTAATCTGGTTAGTGGTCTATTTTGTTGATCTTTTCAAAAAGACAGCTCCTGGATTTATTGATTTTTTGAAGGTTTTTTTGTGTGTCTCTATCTCCTTCAGTTCTGCTCTGATCTTAGTTATTTCTTGTCTTTGGCTAGCTTTTGAGTTTTTTTGATCTTACTCCTCTAGCTCTTTCAATTTTGATGATAGGGTGTCAATTTTCAATCTTTCCTCATTTCTCATGTGGGCATTTATAGCTATAAATTTCCCTCTAGACACTGCTTTAAATGTGTCCCAGAGATTTTGGCATGTTGTGTTTTCGTTCTCGTTAGTTTCAAAGACCATCTTTATTTCTGCATTCCTTTCATTGTTTATTCAGTCAACATTCAGGGGCCAGCTGTTCAGTTACCATGAAGCTGTGCAGTTCTGGGAGGTCATGTCTGAGGTGTTAAAGCCTGTGTGCAGAAGGGTTAGATGACTCAGCCAAGGGGCTGGGGCAGAGGGAGGCTGCAGTGGTTAGGGTCAGGGTGGGATTGGGGTCTGAGTTAGTTTCTTAATTCCAAGTTCTATTTGATTGCCCTGTGGTCTGAGAGACTGTTTGTTATGATTTCCATTGTTTTACATTTACTGAGGAGTGATTTATTTCCAATTATGTGGTTAATTTTAGAGTAGGTGTAATGTGGTGCTGAGAAGAATGTGAATTCTGTGGATTTGGGGTAGAGAGTTCTGTAGATGTCTATTAGGTCCGCTTGGTCCAGATCTGAGTTCAAGTCCTGCATATCCTTGTTAATTTTCTGACTCATTAATCTGTCTAATATTGACAGTGGAGTGTTAAAGTCTCCCACTATTATTGTGTGGGAGTCTAAGTCTCTTTGTAGGTCGTTAAGAACTTGCTTTATGTACCTGACTATTCCTGTCTTGGGTGTGTATATATTTAGAATCATTAGCTCTTCTTGATGCATTGATCCTTTTACCATTATGTAATGCGCTTATTTGTCTCCTTTGATCTTTGTTGGTTTAAAGTCCATTTTATTGGAGACTAGGATTGCAATTCCTGCTTTTTTTTTGCTCTCCATATGCTTGATAAATCTTCCTCCATCCCTTTATTTTGAGCCTATGTGTGTCCTTGCATGTAAGATGGGTTTCCTGAATACAGCACATCGATGGATCTTGACATTTTACCCAATTTTCCTGTCTGTGTCTTTTGACTGGGGCATTTAGCCCATTTACATTTAAGGTTAATATCGTTATGTGTGAATTTTATCCTGCCATTTTGATGCTAGCTGGATGTTTTGCTTGTTAGTTAAACGCATTTTTTTCATTGTGTCAATGGTCTTTACAATTTGGTAATTTTTTGGAGTGGCTGGTGCTGGTTGTTCCTTTCTTTGTTTAGTGCTTCTTTCAGGAGCTCTTGTAAGGCAGGCCTGGTGGTGATGAAATCTCTCAGCAATTACTTGTCCATAAAGGATTTTTTTCCCCTTCGCTTACGAAGCTTATTTTGACTGGATATGAAATTCTAGGTTGAAAGTTCTTTTCTTTAAGGATGTTGAATACTGGGCCCATCACTTTCCTCTTGTCCCTGCTAGAAAATGAGCCATTACCTGGTACAGACTATTGCTATAATTTTCTTTTTTCCTCATGTATTTTGGCTCATGGAGAAACATTGTGTGTTTATAACATTTGTGACAGCAGTGGTGAGTCTACTGCAGCCAGGCTAAGAAAAATTCTCTGCCGTTTCTGCTCAGCTCCACCTTGATGTGGGGGAAAAGCCGTTTCAAATTTCTATCTCTATACAAGGTATCAAAGCCCCTAGTGAAGCACATTTCCTTATGGTTTATAAGGGTCCCCAGCTGCTCAATGGTAATGTGTCCCAGATGATGGGTCAGTGAGGAGACTCCACTGGAAAATAACATATCCTCTCAGTCTTTCTGTTCTTCTCCTGGTCCTCATGATGGAAATTTTGGTTCACCTTCCCCTTTCCTAATTGGAAGACTTCTCACTTCTCCAATCCAATTATCCTTTCCCCTCTATTCAGGCCTGGCCTTAAGTCCTTCAGAGGAAATATCTTGCCCTTATATTCTTTGAATTCTTCTTCAGTGTGTGCTGAGAAAATTGAGAGGAGAGGGAAAGTGAAATACACTGAGAGCAACAAGGTTAAACTTTTATGAAACAACCGATCACATGTATATCAACATTTTATATAACCTACAACACAAACATATACATAGAAATCATTGTATATATAAATTATTATTTTAAAGTTTAGTTATTTTATTAGTGATAGATTTCTAATTGCTCAATTTTTTTGAAGTATTTTGTTATTAAAAACATTTCTTTGAAATGACAGATTGAAAATTTAAAAATCTATGCCAATTTACAGCTCTCTTATTTGTATTTAACTAGGACTTGGAGAAGGACCGTATATGCTGGCAAGCTATGGGCAGACTGGCCTTGTTCTAGGGGCCAATATGACCAGCAGAAGCATTTTCTCTTTGCCAAGAAGCAGTGTTCATCCTAATTTATTTTTTTATTTTATGATTACTCCAGGCCTTTTTAAAGAGAAGGTATCATGTAAGTATAATTGAAAACAAATTTAGATTTCCATTTAAATTTAAAAATTTAGTCACCCAGTAAATGTTAATTGAGAATCTAATATGCTTATATTATTTTTTAAAGTGCCCTAAAGGATGTGAGATAAAATGTAACATTGGCGCATGAACCAGCTTTCTCTTTTGTAAACAAAAATCATTTCTTTGTTTATTTATTGGCATGTATATGTTAGAATTGCAATTGTTTGAGTTTTTGGTGTTAAATAAAATATATCTAAAATTTTCATAGCATTAGTCACATAACTTAATTTGACGTTTTTTGAAAACCATCCACTGATTCTTAACATTTAAAAGATTTTAACGCCCAAAAAAGTAAAAATAAATTGTGAATTGATACCAAATAAGTTATGCATTAAGAGCATAAATCAGAGTGTAGACAGTCATCGTGACAGCCTGTTGTCCTTACCTGTCTTGTCTGTCCTTGTTCCTGGACATGTCCTCAGTGTCCTGAACCCAGCCTTACATTTACTGGTTTGCACCTGTAGGTCTGTATTGGTTGTATCCACCTGGCACCTGTTCTGATTGGTGGTAGTTTCCCTTCTGATCCAATGATGTTCAGGCTACCTGTGTCTACATACGTCTACCTGGAACCATGCATGGCATGTTGTATAAGCTTAGGAATTTATTTGTTGAATTGAATCAATCAGACTTAACTTTCACTTCTTCCGAGAACTCTCACAATTCTCCAGTTAGAATAAATTATTTTTTTCCTGTGAAAAGAACTCTCTTAGTTCTGAAAACACCTATCACCCTCAAGTTCTAAATTATGTTGGTTACGTTTTCTTCTCATATAAAAATTTATTTTATTATTCTTTGCATCTTTTGGTGCTCAGTAGAGGAACTTGAATTTTACAACATGATAAATGTCTTTGAGATCATATTAAATTTGAGAGAACTCTTCATTTTGCAATTTGTAATAACTAATGATTTTAATAGAAGAAAATCCAAATAATGTTTATTTAAGAAAATCAACCTAAAATCATCTCAATTTAAAAACTTTTGTATCATAAATTTTACCAATATAAGGTAAATTTTCAAAGCACCTAGCAAAAAACGGCACTACTTCTTCAATGCTTTGTAAAGTCCAATTGCTCATTAGCCACTTGATAGATCATCTTCTGGGAAATAGACAATAATGTTGAATAAATAGTCATTTTTTGGTGCAGTAAAATCTCTTGTGAAAACATTTGCTCATTAAAAGAGTCCAGTGATACTGAAATGCAGTTATATCCTTAAATTAATCTATTTCTCTATTTTTTTCTATCATCCAGTTTAGCCTCTTATAGATTTTGTGCATTTGCAAATGTTAAAGTTTGTAAACACAAATATATATCCAATTAATCATTCAGTTCCTTGTATGAAATTGTACATTCTGGAGTCCTCACTGGCATTTCTTTTTTACCCCAAGGACAAAATAAATTATTTAAAAATTAGAAGCCATCGAAGACTGATTTTTTTTTAGTGATGTCACTGTTATTCACTAAATTTAAAGTACTACATTTTGTCGTCTTTGAGACATCTCCTAATTTATTTCTGAAATCTTGGTGATTGGCACTAATTATGTTTGGCAATTGTGTGGTACTATTTTTGTTTACTTTATAAGTACATTTTGTGATGCCAATGTTGATGATCTTCCTTCTCCTAAGAATCTGCACTGCTCTGTGTTTTACAGCGTTGGCACTTGTTTCGTTGGAATCTGCTGAAAGGCCAAACTACTTTCTCTATGTCCATGACAGTGACACTCTTAGCTTGGAGCTGTGGGAAGCAAATTCAGCCTTTCATCAGAGAGCAACATTCTTCCACCATCAGGGCCTCTGGATTCCTGGTTACAGTGCATTTGAATTATACAGCAAAAAAGGCTTTTTCATCATATTCACAGATTCTAGTGTCAAAGCATCAAAATATGATGATTCCGAAGAATTTAAACATTCAAGTAGTTTTAGCATAGAAGGTATGTTTTCTGAGATCTCCAAAAAAGAGAACAAATAGATAATTTATATTATGCAGAATATTTATGTCTTTAATTTAAAATTCATTCTTACTGTGTATAAGCAGATAAAGTTGTTTGACTTTAAGTAAGTTTCTCAACCTCTATACCCCCTAGTTTACTCATCTGTAAAATTGGAGAAATAATAATGCCCATTTTGTAGAGTTATTGTGAATATTGAATAAGTTGGTGTAAATTGCTTAGAACAATCCTAAATAACCTGATTTTTTATTATTACGCCAATTGTTACTACCCGTGCTGTCTGGACATTGGAATCAGAGCCTCCTCATGTGGCATGGTTGTCTAATGTTTATATCTACTTTTTCTTTCCTAGAAGGCAACTTTTGATTAATCTGATTCTTAGTGATAAGGACAACATGTTTATCTCTGTCCTTTGGATATAGGGTATGTCTGTTTCCATTGACCTCTAGAAGATTTATCTAGTTCAGCAGAAACCTAATCTTACTTCTAGAGAGACTTTTAGGTCTATAGTTTTGAATTTTCTGAAGCAATCTTTACTTCTTTATGCAATGTTTAAAAGTCATGCTTTGTTTTCAAAATCCAGGAGCTTCATATCTATCTTGAGTCTCCCCAAGAAATTGTTTCATCCTAGTGAACCCTCCTGAAGCAGTTCAACAGAGCAAATAATTTGTCTTTTCTGTTGAGAATGTATTTCTGCAAGCCCTTCCAGTAATGGATTTTTGAAAGTACAAATTGAGCTTCAGAATTTTACCTATTGTATAAAGTTCCTGTGTGCAAAGCTTCCTATGTCTGGCAAGAGGTTTTGTGCAAACCAGAATGCCAGAATTCTGCAAGGGTTCATACTCTGTCAATGAGCTTAGAACAAAGCAAAAGAAGCTCTAATATCTCTACTATTTACATTCCTAGGTTTAGTGTGGTGAGATACAGAACAAGTCAGGCAAAGGAATTTTATTTACTTACAGATAGACAGCAAGAATCAACAGATGCCTAGGATTCATGGTGAGCCAGTCCTCTAAGACTCAGAAAAGCCCAGGGTGAACTGAATCTTGTCTGCACACTCCCCATGTTGCACTGCAGCTGAGGTACCCTGAAATCACTCTGCTCTGGATTTGATGCTTCAGGTGCAACTGGAATCACTGAGCACACACTTTGCAGGACATCCTGTTGGGAATGGCAACAGAGCCTGGATTTCTCCTTACCTCAGGATAATTCTCACAACTTTTTATAGCTGTTTTGAGAAGTGCACATGGGAGAGAGAAAGCAAGGAGAACCAAGGGTAGACCTGTCCTCCTGTGCTGTGCACTTGAGAAAAAGAACCACTGACACATCTATATAGCATTCCATAGAGTGGGTGTGAGTTGCTTATGATTTGCTTACTTGCATTTACCCAAAGTTGACCTTTACAGACCTCTATTTCCCCTCTGCTCTAAAAATATGTACTCTTAGAACCAGACCTAGTACCTCCATTTGAGGCTTAGAGAACTATAGCACATGACATCATTAGGAAATCAGAAGCTGATCTTTGTAGGCTTCAGAAACCTAGGAAACTCCCGGAGCCTATTGTAGGCTTGTAACCTTCCAAGTAGCTGGGACTACAGGCACCCACCACCATGCCCGGCTAATTTTTATATTTTTAGTAGAGATGGGGTTTCACCATATTGGCCAGGCTGGTCTCAAACTCCTGATCTTGTGATCCGCCCACCTTGGGCTCCCAAAGTGCTGGGATTACAAGTGTGAGCTACCATGCCTGGCCCCCTTTGGTTTCTTAAATCTCTGGAAAATAGGTGAACATGTAGATATTTAATCTGAGCATGAAATGCTTTGGTCACCAAGCAATTGCAGTGTTTTTTTATTCTTTAGGTCTGTCTTTCCTGTAGCATTGTAGTCAAAGAGGGGTCAAACCCTAGGAGGATTCATATAAGAAATTGTTAGTTTTCAGCCAGGCACAGTGGCTCACACCCGTAATCCCAGCACTTTGGGAGGCCAAGGCGGGCGGATCACCTGAGATCAGGAATTCGAGATTGGCCTGGTCAACATGCGAAACCTTGTCTCTATTAAAAATATAAAAATTATCCAGGCATGGTGGCATGTGCCTGTAGTTCCTGCTACTTGGGAGGCTGAGGCATGAGAATCACTTGAACCTGATAGGTGGAGGTTGTGATGAGCTGAGATGGCGCCACTGCACGCCAGCCTGGGCAACAGAGCAAGACTCTGTCTCAAAAAAAAAAAAAAAAAAGGAAATTGTTAGTTTTTCAAGTTAAGTATTTAATATGCACACAATCTAAACTTTATTTTTTCCCAGAAATCCAGACAGCAGTGCCTTACAGGAGGATGTGTGAATGGAGATATGAACCTTGTGCTACTCCCTGTTTTAAAACCTGTAGTGACCCTGAAGCACTAGCATGTAAATTTCTTCCACCGTAAGTAATATTTACCAATAAATGATCAAATTCCAGCCTTAGCAAATTCTGTTTTCAGTGAATTGTTTCAAGATTTAAAAACAGCCATTCTCAAGTTGTATATGCTATATATTCTTTCATAATATTAATTTCACTTAAATTAAGAAGTAGTTATTGAGAGTCTACTGTGTGGCAGGCAATCTTCTTGCTGCTGGGGAGACCATACTGAACAAAATAGACAAGTATTTGCTCTCATGAAGCTTACATATTGTTGGATTGAGCAAAAAATAACCAAACAAAAATGTTAAATATATAATGCAACATATTGTTATGGCGGATATGTGTCACAGAGAAAAATAAAGGAAGGTAAGGGAGACGGAGAGCATAAGGTGTGTGTGTGTGTATGTGTGTGTGTGTGCCAATTAATATTGGTGGTCAGGTAAGAGCACCCTGGCAAGGTGACATCTGGTCAGAGATCTAAATGTAGTAAAGGGACTGGCCAGGTGGTTATCTGAGGAAGAGTCTTTAATCTGAGAATAGTGCAAAGGTCCTAAAGTGGGAATGTGTTTGGTGTGTTTGAGGATCAGCAAGGAGGCCATAAGTTAGAACAAAGTGAGCAAAATGGAAAGAAGTGGGAGATGAGAGAATAACAGTAGTGGACAAATCATATAAGGCTTTGTAGCCTGTTAGGCAGCAGAGTAGCATGATAGGATTTATGTTTTAAAAAGTGTACTTTGGCTGTTGTACTGAGAATGGGCTCTTGGAGACAGGGAGGACAGGGCAGAATTGATCAGTGAGACAGACAGAAATGAAGGGGATTTGACTAGGTTGGTGGCCCTGGAGGTTATGAGGAACAAACAAGAGTTAATATCACTTATGAGAGAAAGACGAGTTAAAAAATCAAGTTTTGGCCTCAGCAGGTATTAGGTGAAATAATATGAAGTTTTGCCATTTTTGGTAGCCAAATTGGTCAAACAGCAATAATTTCAAATGATTTGATCTAATAGAAGAACTGCATTGCCATTTACTGAGATAAAGAAGATGTTAGAAGAAACAGAGGAAGGTCAGGAATTTGATTTTGAGCATATAGGGTTTGATATGGAAAATTGTTCATTGGATTTAGCAAGTCAGAAAATTAGGAAGAGACAAAACAGTGACAGAGAGTGTAAACAGCTTTTTTTTTAAATATAATAATTTTTCATAAAGGAGATATGAATCAGTAGGAGGGAATATTTTTAGGAGAATCATTTTACATTGAACAATTATGAGCTTCTATTCTATGGCAAATATTGCCGATAGGTAAGATCTAGCCCCTCTGTAAGATCCAGCCCCTCTCTCAAGGGGCTCACAATCTTTGGAAGGAGACAGAAACAGAAGAAAACAATGACAATGCAATGGAAAGAGGCCTAGGGAGGCCTTGAGGGGTAACCACAACAGCTAGCTCATTTAGGTATTTACAGTAAACATGAACTATGTGCCAAGTGCTGTAAAATGGGTAATCTCCTTACTGTCATTCCCAGAGGAGAAACCAGCTGAGGCACAGAGAAGCAACACAATTTGTCTTGGTCACATCCTTTTTTTTTTTTTTTTTTTTTTTAAATCAATGAGATGTTCTTAAGTTGTCCAGGCTGGCCTCGAACCCACAGCCTCATCTCCTCAATTGCCAAGACAAGTGGCCTGAGCCACTGTGGCTCCCTGGTCACACAGTTCATAAGCAGTAGTGCCAGGGTTTGGACTGCTATACTCTGTCGTATGTGAAGTGCTATGAGATCAGAGGAAGGAACGTGATATTTCTGTTTAGTTTCTTAAAAATGAAAACAATCACTTATTTTCTTCTCAAGTCTTCATCATTCATTTGAACTTCTCCCACTCACAAATCTATTTCCTGCCTTTTCTGGTAACTATCAGGATGACAGCATGCAACAGTGGCCCTGGGGTGAGGCTAAGCAATGGGGAGGGCATGTGGGAGAACACAGCAGCAGGCACAGCTGGCCAGGCACTGGGGAAGACATTGAGCTACATTTTCAATTGGCATTTGGCTAGTTTATGACTTCTGTGGCATGACCAGTCTCTGGGGTGGTAGAACCCTGATCCTTAATGCTTCCAGTGTATTGGCCTGTAGCTGTCCATAAGTTTCTCTTTCTGTATGGCTGGGGTGCAGAGAAGAGACTCAGGATGAAATTTTGCCCTTGTCCAACTGATTCTCATCTCTACCTTCATTTCTTTTTCCTTGTACTTTCCCTGTGCCAAGGTGGCTAATTATTATGCTTCGTACCTGCAGTACTTGAGTGGGGACATAAGTTCTAAGCTGGGGTCTTAGCGAGCCCTTTCGCCTCCTCCTCCAAGTCCGCTACAGAACCAGAACTCTTGTTCTAGGTGATTGCAGTTTCTGGCACATAGCAAGTGTTTAGAATAAAAATGTTTCATTGAAAAATTACAGATTTTATAAGAAAAGTTGCCAAATAGTATACATAGAGCACATATGTAAATACTGTTATTCCTATCATCTAATATACCTATTATAAGAACCATTCTGCATCTGAGGCATTAAACTTATCAGTTAGAAATTGAGTAGAATACCAATTGTATGATAAAAGAAAGCAAACCTGCTATGTTGACAATAAAGCATTTTAAGGAACAAGTTAATGGTTTTTTGAAAAGTATTGTACAAGGATGGCTGTGGTTTCGACTTGCATAAAACAGCTGCAAAATGAGTTGCATAAAAATTGATTTTGACCCAATTAAATAATGAATAACTAGTCCCTGCTTTCAGTGATCCAGTAACTTTCCTTTTTCTGTTTTCTTCCACTTCACAAAGTTTAGGAGAGAGTAAGAATGTCATATGCTAGTTGAAGTTTTATTACTGAACTTCATTTTAGGAAATAAATAGCTATATAAGCTGAGCTCTTTGTGTTTTTAAAAAATCAGTTGTGAAGGAGGTATCTAAGAGATGGCTAAATGTGTTTCATTAAACCTCATTAAGACAGAAGTTAACTTTTCTTGGTCTTTAAAAAGTGTTGCCTGGATTTGCCTACAAGAACAAGGGTCTTCTGGGCAGCATTTACCTTTAGTGTTGAGTTAGTTTGTTTCCATCTGGAATGAAATGAAGCCTTCAGTACTCTTAATTCAAATTCTTTACAGATAAGGCAATGGAAATGTTTTTAAAATATTTAAATATATCATTAAAAACTGCTAGAATATTCTAGAGGCAGACGAGCAAGCCTTTTTATAACAATATCTGCATGAATTCTCTGTGGTATAATAATTAGAGTTGGTTGCACCTGAAGGATTATATTTTTTTCTTTTGATTTAGAATAAATTGAGCCTTAATTGGACATGAAGAAAATGTACTCTCAGTCATTATTTTGTCTCCATTCCTTTAGAAGAAAAGTGTTCTCATGTTCCCTCCTGTCTTTGGCCTACAACATGGCCTCTTGAAATTTGAGACTCTCCCTTGGCTTCTGTGCTCCAAACAAGGACTGGGGATTCTTACCAAGGCCAGACATCCTAGGATTAGAAACTGAATCTTTTCAGGCTCTTATACAACCATGTTCTTTCAGGGCACTGTACTCTTGAAAACTACAGCTTCTGCTCCTTCCTCTCCCTGTTCTCAAAAGAGCTACAGCTGTGTTCACCCCTTCTACCTAGAGAGCACTAATATCTTTTCAGTGAGTTTAGGATTTAATAACAGGCAGGGAGAGCCACTGAAGGTACTCTATTTGTTCTACAAACACTGTCAAGGCAAGGGTAGTGTCAAAGAGCACGCCAATCTGCTTGGATATGAGGGGAGTATAAGAGTGGAAAGCAACAGTGCCATCAATACAGATTAAAATTTCAATAAAATGGCCAGGTGATGGGGTTCATGCCTGTAATCCCAACACTTTGGGAGGCTGAGACGGGCTGATTGCTTGAGCCCAGGAATTCAAGAGCAGCGTGGGCAACATGATGAAACTCCATCTCTACAAAAAAATAGAAAAAAAATTAGCCAGGCATGGTGGCACATGCCAGCTACTCAGGAGGCTGAGGTGGGAAGATCACCTGGGCCCAGGAGGAAGAGGCTGCAGTGAGCCAAGGTCACATCACTACACTGCAGCCTGGGTGACAGAGTAAGACCCTGTCACCACCACCACCACCACCACCACCACCACCAGCAACAACAACAACATAATCTTAATAAATTATTCTTAACAACAACAACAACATAATATTAATAAATTATTCTTCCACATTTCCACTGACTTATGCAACATGGCCTAAGTGTGCCCCAAGCATAAGTATATGGTTTGAATATTCTGTGTTCAAGTTCTGCCTTAATCTTAAAGCTGTCTCTTATCCTCTAGCTTGTGATTTTATAAAATGAAGTATGATGGATTGGTAGCAGATGGAGCAGTTCTTAGTGCTTGACAAGGGTATATAGAAGCATTTTAGGAAGAATATATCCTAGTTGCATATGTTAAATGCAGTCCTTTTTTGGTATTTCCAACTTTTTTTCACTTTGATTTACTCTTTTTTTCATGTAAAGGGTTGAAGGATGCTTGCCCTACTGCCCTAAAAATATGATCCTTGATGAGGTCACCCTCAAGTGTGTTTATCCAGGAGACTGTAAGTGTGAAACTTGCTTAATTTACTCTGAAAAATGATATGCTTGCATATTTTCTCTCTGAGGCAATTGGTTGTAAACAGAAGTTTTAGACAGATAATCAAGATTCTTCTTCAATATCCCTTACATAGCGGTTTTTTTCTAATTACTTTTTACATCATGTAGATCTTTCACTAACATCCCTCTTATATTCTCTTTCCCAAAACATTTTCCTTGAAGCTAAAGAGCCCTCTATGAAATATGTGGATCTCATTTTAAGCAAATATAGTTTTAAAAAGAGCATCTTTGTTTCTTTGTAGGCATACCTGTGATTCCCACAGAACCAGCATTAATACCACCAGCTAAGCCAACTGTACCCATGTTTACAGGTATTGTTATAATTTTTGACAACAAAAGTAGCATTATGTAATTTGAGTATTGGTACATTTATCACAGCTGCTATTATTAATATTATCCTATGGGCTTGGAAACCCAACAGTCACTTTTATTCATTAAGCTCATTCATTGGCTCAGCATGCCATGTTTTCTAGAACTTCGGGCCTTAAAGCATTCTTCTGCCTGAACCTCCCAAAGTGCTGGGGTTACAGGCGTGAGCCACACTGCGCTGGGCTGCATGCCTCATTTTGTGAATGGCTTCTATTTTTGATCCACCTCGTTCTTTATTTCAGTTCGTATAGATTCCTTGGCCTTCCCTCACATCTAAAAACCTAAATTCTACTTTTAGGTTTGATTAAATCCCGCTTAAATTTTCATGGCGATTAAATTGGCTCTAATGAAACATAGATGTAAATCAGGGTTTCCTTTCTGCCTCCATTTCCGTGTTTGCATTCTGTCTCCGGCTCTGGAGGAGGCATTCCGGGCTCCTAGCCCTGCTTTCCTCCCGCACTTTGAAACTGGCCTCTGGAAAGGATTTAATAATCCACTCACAGTGAGGCTTAAACTTACGGTATTATTCTTCAATGTATTATAACGTAGGTTAAGTTCAGATATTTATTCTTTCAGTTTATTTGACAAGGTTTAATTGAGCATCAACCCTACCAAGCACTGTCCTGGCACTCAGTGAGGAGGTATAGTAAACAAGTCACAGCCCTTACCCTAAAACTGCTGATAGACCAGAGGCTACGACAATCTTACAACAGGGGAAAATACAAGCAGCCCACAGGATGGCCACCATATTTATTTTGGAGGTCTCAGAAGGCTAATTGAAGATAGGAGTTGCGTAGGCTAGGAGAAGGGGACCTATGCTCCTATTAGAAGGACAGCATGTGCAAAGTCTGGAAGTGAGAAGGAATATGTCACATGAAGGAATCCTAAGCAGGTCAGTGTGTCTTGAATGTGCAGTTTGAGGGGACTTGTGCCAAAAGATGGTGTGAAAGAGATTATCAGGAGCAGATCACAAAGGACTCATGGTAAGAAACTGGATTTTTTAAAAGGAATTAATAGCCTTACTACAGCCATCACTAGTACCGCTGCTTCTTTGGTTAGCTACCGTTTGTGTGCTAATTATATGCCAGGTATTGGATTAAGCATTTGGCATATATTTAATCTTGATAAGAGCCCTATGAGAGAGATATTACCCTTGTAGAGATGAGGAATTACTATACTGTTGTGGAATTTTAGGCATCAGTGAATTTATTATAGTTTAAAGCACGCTTTGGGAGAAGGTGGAGGTACTTCTACGTCATTCAATTTATAAGAGGAATAAGTCTATGAAATAAGGTTGCATGATTTAACATCTGGGACATAGACTGTTAATGATTCTAAGTGTTGCTCTCTACTTTGAGTTCTCTTATGTCTTGTAAATTAATATTCAACATATATCTCAAATGTCTAAAACGATTTAAATCACCACAATCTATATGTAGATAATCTAACTATATTTCACATCCTCAAAAATAAGAAAAATAAAGCTATTATTAATTGCAGATGATATAATCTTAGATTATTCTGAGAGATGTACTCAAAACTATTAGCAACAATATATGAGTTCAGCAAGTTTGCAGGATACAAGAGCAATACACAAAAATCAATTATATTTCTATATACCAGCCTTGAACAATCTGAAAATGAAATGGAGGAAACAAATGCATTTATAGTAGTCAAAAAGAATAAAATGCTTAGAACATATGTAGCAAAAGAAGTGTAAAACTTGTACAATAAAAGCTATAAAACATTATTGATAGAATTAAGAAGCTGAAGAAATTCCATATTCATGGATTAGTAGAGTTGATATTGTTAAAATAGCAATACTCCCAAATTGTATTTATAGACGCAATACAATCCTTATCAAAATCCAAGCTACTTCTTTGCAGAAATTGGTAAGTTAACCCTAAATTCATAAGGAAGTACAAGCAACCTAGAGCAGCCAAAACAATTTTGAAATATAACTAATTTGGAGGCCTCATAATTCTCAGTTTGAAGACACCACAAAGCTATAGTTATCAAGACAGCTTGGTCATTGTAAGTCCACACCCAGATAATGTTTATAAGCCTTTGATGATTTTAGATAACAATGGACTCTTTCATTAAGACCACTGAAATTCCCAGTTATTAGAATTTTTTTTTTTTGAGATGGAGTCTCACTCTGTCACCCAGGCTGGAGTGTAGTGGCGTGATCTTGGCTCACTGCAACCTCCACCTCCTGGGTTCAAGTGATTCTCCTGCCTCAGCCTCCTGAGTAGCTGGGATTACAGGTGCCCACCAACACGCCTGGCTAGTTTTTGTATTTTTAGTAGAGATGGGGTTTCACCATGCTGGCTAGACTGGTCTCAAACTCCTGACATCAGGTGATCCACCTGCCTCAGCCCCCACAAATGCTGGGTTTATAGGCGGGAGCCACCGTGTCCAGCCCCAGTCATTAGAATTTTTTTGTGACTGTGTCCTTGGATTAGACTAGAATGTTGCCTTCTTTTCCTTTGCCTAAATGTTTATAATGATGGAATAAAGATATTTAAGACTGTATTAAATATCACATTCTTTAGATGATACAAGATCTAAGATATCAACATTGCACATAGGACAAAAAAGTAGAAATTTTTGTTCTACTTTACCTGCATTGCAAGTTAGAAACAATAAAATAAGTATAAAACGAGGGTAATTTATAGAATTTATTTAGCTAAAAAAATTTTTTATTTTTATTTATTTATTTTTTGAGATGGAGTCTCACTCTGTTACCAAGGCTGGAGTACAGTGGCACAATCTCTGCTCACTGCAACCTCTGCCTCCTGGGTTCAAGCTATTCTCCTGCCTCATCCTCCCAAGTAGCTGGGACTACAGGGCATCACCATGCCCGGATAATTTTTGTATTTTTAATAGAGATGGGGTTTTGCCATGTTGGCCAGGCTGGTCTCAAACTCCTAGCATCAAGTGATCTACCTGCCTTGGCTTCCCAAAGTGCTGGAATTACAGGTGAGAGCCACTGCACAAAGCCAGAAAAAGTAAAAGTTTATAAAATATCACTGTGGTATGCTGAAAAATGGTTCTCCAAAAATGTTCATGTCTTAGTTCCCAGATTTTATGAATATATGACCTTATATGGCTGTAGATATGGCTAAATTAAGATGCTGACTGGCTTATGTCTGGATCATGAGATGGGGAAATTATCCTGGAATATTCATGTGATGCCAATGTAATCACAGATGTCCTTATAAGAGAGAGGCAAGAGAGTTAGAGTCAGAGAAGGTGATGTGATAGCAGAATTAGAGGAAAGAAGGGGAATGAAAGGGAAGGAAGAAGGGGAAGAGAGAGAGATTGATTTGAATCTATTGTGCTGTGGTTTTGAAGGTAAAGGAAGGGACAATGAGCCAAGTACAGGTAGTTCGTAGAATTTGGAAGAGACCAGGAAACAGTCTCCTTAGAGCCTCCAGAAGGAATGCAGTCCAACTGATAGCTTGATTTTAGGACTTCTTTCATTTACAAATTAATTAAGTTTAAAAATTGACAAAGATTGTATATATTTATTGTGTACATGTTGTTTTGAAATATGTATACATTGAGAAATGTCTACAGTGAGATCCAGAACAGCTAATACATTGGTGTTGTTTTAAGTTGCTAAATTTGTGGTAATTTGTTATAGCTGCAATAACTAATGAGGCTATTTTTAAACATTATCAATTGTGGGCACTGCAATTATAGCTGAGAATAATTTCAGCCATTCATTGTGGCTCTTCTGTAATCTTTCAGACTGAATATTTTAGAGGTACCTCTAATACTGGCACCTTTAGAAGGTGCCTCACAAATGTGTTTACCAATCACATCTCCCTTTTCCATGGGTCACCCCTAAACCACACCCATCAACTAGGGTCTCCACATGGTCCACAGCAACATCTATTCTTCTTACAAAGAACACATTCTCAAGGTTCACCAAAATAAAGGAGTCAACCTCATTATGTATTTTCAAAATGCAACAAAATTTTTAACTCCTGAGGAATGGTTAATGATATATTAATTTATCTGTAACCTGTTCAACAATTCTGTTGGCACCATTAAAAAGGTGAAGGTGTTTATAGAATGGTGATTAAAAGTCAAAATTCTGGAATCAGAATTCATTTCTGAGTCCAGATTCTGCCTCTGCTGCTTAACAGCCTTATTTCTCTACAGCTTAGTTTCCTCATCGGTAAAATGTCAATACTATTATTACCAACATCACAGGATTTTAGGAAGGAATATGTGAAATAATCCATATAAAATTTCTTAGCACAGTTTCTGTCACATGTCAATTCCATACATGATAAATGATTCCACTAATGAGGATTACATTTTCATTTCTGACAGTTTTGGAAATGATTACTCCATCAGACATCACTGTGTTTGATATGCTAACACCAACCACAGGCTTGGAATGTGAGGTATGACTGAACAATAACTTCTAGTTCTTTGTCATTTCCATATATCATTCTCTTAAATTTCTGTGTCAATATCCAAATGCTACTAAAGTTTTTTTGGTATGTTCTCTAGTCTATCCTTGCTAAAAGATGATAAGAAATATGCATTTTATTGGAACAATTGTATTTTCTTAACTCTTTCGGATATTTCTTATTAATTAGCTTCTAGTCACACTAAAAAAAACAAAATCGAAAAAAGATCTTAAGTGTGATTTCTTAATAAAGAGTTATCTAGTCTGGATTTCTCTGTGAATCAGGCATTCATAAGCTATTAAGCATCTACTCAATGTCAGTCACTGTGCAAGATGTTAAACATACACTGGTAAGCGAAAAAGGTAAAGGCTGTTGGCCTCTAGAGCTAGCAGTTTTCTCTGCTGAGACTTGGGCAGAGATCTTCTTATTTCAAATATACCATTTGCTCTGATAAACGAGTTATTTATTCAACCAATATTTATTCAGTGCCATTTCTGGCCAGGCATTATTCACTTATTCAGATCCTATGGAAAAAAATATAAAAGTAAGCAAACATTTCTGCTTCTCCAGAGTTTATGTTCTATTGAAGTTTCTGAGATAGCCAATAAGAAAAATAAATGAAGTTATATAAAATGACAGAAGGTGCTGGTCAGGAGAAAAATAATACTATTTTTAATAAAATGGCCAGGAAATCTTCACTGGTAAGGTGACTTCTAAGGAAAAGGTCTGTAAATGTTGAGAAAGTGAACAATGTAGAGGACTGGGGCAACAATGTTCCAGGCAGAGGGACCAGCAAGTGTAAGGGCCTTGAGGCAAGAATGTACCTCACATGTTAAAAGAATGACAAGGAGACCAGTAAGTAAGAAAGGAATAAAATAGTAGACAATAAAGTAGATTATGTTAGACCTTGTATTGTAAAGACTGTGGCTTTTGTTCTAAATGACATGGGAAGATGCTGTATATTTTTGAGTCAAGGAATTATACTATCTGAGTAGTTTCAAGATCATTTTGGCTGCTGTATTGTGGATTAGGTATAAGGAGACAATAGAACTGGTTAGGAGGCTATTGCAGGAATTTAGGCCGGAGATGATGATGGCCTGGCTCAGGTGATAGCAGTGAAGATGGAGAAAAGTGCCTGCATCCTGGATATATTTTGAAGGTAGAGGCCACAGAACTTACTGAAAGATTATATGTGAAGTATGAGTAAAAGGAAAGCAACAAAGATTCTAAGACTTTTGCCTTGAGCAACTAACGGGTTGATGTCAACCAGGATGGAGAAATCATGAGGAGTGAATATCTGGGGTGGGTCTAATCACTAGTTCAGTTTTACCATATGAAGCTTGAGATTCCTCACAGATAGCAAAAAGCTGTGGACCTACAGATTTGGTAGACATATATGGAGCATATATAGGCCATGCTGAGAAAAAGTTTGGGGAATTCTCAGTGGATAAATGGTATGAGACTGACTGAGATTATTAAGGGAGCAAGTGCAGATAGAGAAGTGAAAAGGGTCACTACAACTTTCATAGGCTGAGAGAAGATGACAGACATGTAAATAATGTTAACCAGAGAAATAGAAGAAAATATAGGAGGCTGCAGGTGATCTGAAATCCAAGGAAAAAAATTATAAAGTAATATTTTGAGTAATAACCTATACTGAATATATTAATAGGTCTGAGATGAGACCTGAGAATTGATCATTGGATTTAACAATGTGAGTTGTTCATGATCTTGTTAAAAAGAGTTTCAATAGAGTGGTAGGTTTAAAATCCTTTAGATGGTTTAGATGTCTGTGAGGGCCATAGTTCTCTTCCAATTGCTTTTATTTTTCTTGCTAAATGAAAAGTAAGGTCAATACCTGAGAACTGGTACAACTTTTACACAGAAAATTTTGGAAAATTGGACTCTTAAATTTTGAAGTCCTCACTTAAGAGTCTTACTATTTAAAAAATTACTAATTTGTCTTAACCTTATTTTAAAATCATGTATTATATTGGAATGATAGAAACTGATCCAAAAGATTTAAGGAAAAGCAAATGAAAGAAGATATTTTATTGGTATATGGTATGTAACAGTTGCTAAATAGTTGTTAACATTTATTCCAAAATCCCCAGACATGCAGTAGAGAGTAACGGTCAAGAGGACAGATTCCTGAGTAACAATGCCTGGACTTAGATGCTGACTCTACTACTTTCTAGCTGTGGAACCTTGGACAAATTACTTTAACTCCTATCCTGTTTACTCATCTATAAAATAAATATAAAATAATAGTATCTACCTCAGAGGGTTATGAGAATGAAATGGGTTAATTAGAATAATGTCTAGTTTAGCATTGCTATAATTGTTACCATAATTTAAATGGAATATGATTTATAAACTTTGAAAAATCTACCACTTATTTATTATTTTTTTACCTAGACATTTTGAGTTACATGTAAAAATTAATTTATAATTATATACTCTAGGTACTGTCAAACTGATGTTATTTATTAACTTTTAATAAAAGTTTAGGTAGTATTAAGTTTAGATAATATTTAGTTAGTATTAATAAAAGTTTAGATAGTATTTAGATAGCATTAAGTTGTAATTTTTAAGTTGACATTAATGGAAGTTATATTCATATACTGGCTTTACACAACATAATGTGCAAGGTCAGCTGTCATTGTATAAATTTGCTTGCAAAAAACTAATCTAGGGAATTTAGGAAAACATTGTTTTCTTCAGATGTTTGAATATATGGGCAATCTAATAGCAATCAGTATTAAGGTAAAGGTTAAATTAAATACATCAACAAAAATTGTAGTGAAATTTTAGTTCTTTATCTTTCAAAAGATTTTGTATTTAATAAATGTACACCATGGGCAACATGAACGTGAAATTTTAAAATCAGTTAAAAACATTAGTTGAGAATGGAAAAAAAACCCACTAATTTTTTTTTCATTAACAGCCTCAGCAATTTGATCCTGTTTATAATTGTAGCCAATACATATGCCTTAATATGGAATGGCAGTTATACAACTGGTCTCTTAATTGCCCAAAGGACGTGGAAATGCCTGACTGTGGTTTCCGAGGAAGGCCAGTTCAAGTGAACAGTGATATCTGCTGCCCTGAGTGGGAATGTCCTTGTAAGTCTGCATTTGCTAAATCATGATCTTTTTGTTTGTTTGATCTGGAGAGATTGTTACTTTTTTAACCTTTCACCTCATCAATCCAAAATTGAGTTTTCTCGAAATTTTTTGATTTTGTATACACTGTGCTTTTGGTTCACAGTATATGACTTTTAGAGTTGCTTCCTGTCAAACATAATAAAGCTAATTTAACAGATTTTTTTTGAAAAGCAGTTATTACTAAAAATAGAAATAGTTAATAGACTAAATCCACTTTCCACCATTTTTTTAGGTCGGTGTTCCATGTTGTCGGAACTGAGCATTATTACATTTGATGGAAATAATGCAGCATTATATAGCATGGCTTCTTATATCTTACTAAGAATTCCTGGTGAAATTATAATTGCTCATATAGAAAAATGTTCCATGAATCAGGTGGGTCATAATTCATTTTTGCAGTCACTTTGTCATAAATCTATAGCTGATGTCTATTGCAACATCAGGGATTCTCATAGGAGGAAGGAGCTCAAGAATTCACTGAGATTGGTCTTATGATAATGTTTCAGAAACATTTCTGAAAATCTTTCATATGAATCTATTTACAGGCATATAATATTAATTCAAATAATGTTTTAAAAAGTGAAATAATGCACTTAAAATTATTTCTTTATTTTTTTCCAGAATGGAAACTCATTAAAAAAGCTAGTGAGTATTTGTAAAATGTTTAGTACATTCATTTTGTTTATCACTACAATTATGTTTAACTCCAAGAAATTTTATTTTTTTTTTCAAATTAAGGCTTCCTCTGGAAGAATTTCTGGTCTTTGTTTTAAAAAGTTAAATATGACAACATCTATACATAAAATAATTGTCAATCGGATAGCAAGAAAGGTAAGAAAACAAAGTTGAATTTTTTCTCATTTTTTTCCAATAAGAGGAAAAATTAAGTATTATCAGTGGAATTTGATTGTTATTATATATAATAATAATTTCATAGACAATATAAAAATGTGTTTCTCAATATTATATTTCTCTCTCAATAATCTTCCAGTTATTGCAAATATTTTCTCCTGTGAGGTTAACTGCATGGACCATGTTAAATACGCTAGTGATCTCTGATTTAATGTGATTAGCCAGTCTTCTTTGTGTCAGAGTTAATATCATGTTTCAAATCAGACAGAGTGGAAATGATATGAAGGAGAGGGATGATAATGTTGAAAATTTTAGTAGCCAAGAACACCAGAATAAAGACCATTAAAAAAGAACAGATGGAAGGAGTGGATTTGAAGTGTTGACACCACTAATTTTTTGGTGAATAAATGATAGCTAAAATAAGAAACATATGAAAAAAATATTTAACTTTTTGAAATAAATTAAGGAAGAACAATACATTATAAAAAAGTTTGAAAGGAGCCATTTGGTTTTGCAGGAAAACCTCTTATCTCAAGGACTATATGTTTGCCAAACAGGAGTGTGTTATGAACTGAGTACTTCACTCAGTTCTAAGTTGTTCTCTCTAAAGTATATATATTTATAAAAAATGTGATGTGTAAAGATTTTTCTTAAAATGACTGAGGTACTATGTGCTTTCTGGAAATAATTCCACCTGTTAGCATAGGTCCTTAGATTCTAGACTGAAAATAATATATTAAAATGAGCCAAAAAATGTCAGAAGATATTTAAAAGATTTAATTAAGTAAAACAAAATATATCAGTGAGGTACTTAATTTGAATGATAGCATATGCATAGACCTTTGAGTTTGATGAGGTTGATATTCTTACAGCAAGTGGGTGGGAAATAAACACAAAGCTGATCAATGTCATTGTTTGGAGCATTTGGGTGGAAAGACTTATTTTTTGGCCCCGGATGAACTCATCACTGGTCCTTCACTGGTCAGGCACTGTATTCAGCTAATGACAAATTATTTTTGAAAATCACTTAGTGAGAGTTTAACATGATAAACAACATAGATCCTGATCTCAAGTACCTTATACTTGTGCATAATTTGCATAATGTAATTATCTGCTGATTACAAAGCAATAAGAGGTGCAGTGATAGAATTATGACCAAGATATCATAGAAATAAAAAGAAGAATAATTTAATGTTTTATACTTTATAGGCAGGTCAAACAGGTCTTTATTGGAGGAGGTCACAAATCTTAAAGAATAGAAAGAGGGAAGGGAAAGAAAGTATGTTTCAGTTCAAGGACAGCAATGTGAACAAAATATAAAGATGAGACATTGAATGGTTGGTGAGGCATAACTTCAAGAAATTTGCTGCTAGTTATAGCTCATGTTTATGTCACTGCCATTATTTAAAGCACTGTTTTTCAAAGTGTAATTCTTGGACTGCCTATATTAGTATTATCAAATACCTGTATAGACTGTATATATATATATATATATATATATATATATATATATTATATATATATAGTACATGCTAAAAATACAGTGTATAATCCAATGCAAACCTAGAAAGTAGAATCACTGGGAATATTGATCTTTAATGAGCCTAACAGATTATTGTTATGAGCATTGTAGTTAAGTAAACGATTCAGAAGATCAAAGAAAGAATCCAGATTAAGGAAAACATCTGGAAAATAACATTATCTTAAATTCATATTAGAAGGATGGTGTTATCAATATAAACATAGATTGAAGGAAACAGACATAAAAGTGTACGTAACATGGAAGAAAGTTAAATTTTGAGGAAAATGAAAAGCAATGAGGTTAGAACAAATATTGACTAGAGCAAGGCACAGCAAAGGAATAATAAAAGAGTTTAAAGGCTCTGAGAAGCTGTGGCAGCAGTAAGAAATACATTTAAAAAAACATTAAAAATAGTTTACATTAAATAAGAATAAATGGAATAATCTCTATTCTCCTAATTTGTACATTTAAGTAAGCATTTGTCAACAGGTATATTTATGTTATTCTAGGTGGAAGTGGATTCCATTGTTGTGCCTTTGCCCTTTTCAAATCAGGAACTGTCCATAGAGGATTCTGGTTCAATGTATGTAATTACTACTCCAGCTGGACTAATCATAAAGTGGTCTCATCTTACAGGAATCATAGACATTCATTTTAGCTCCCAATTTAACTTGTCATCCTACACAGAAGGACTGTGCGGTGAGTGCTGCCCTTCAAATCTCGATTTTGTCTTATTTTTTTTTCCATACACACTATAGGCCCTGTTGCCCCATTTTTGGACATTTTGGACCCTGTTGCCCAATTTTTCATATTTGAGATAATAATATTAACTTTCAGTTCCTATGTAAACACTGAAGGAAGCAATGAATTTTCTATAAATGTGCTAAGATACAGGAAATAACACTTTAATTTGGGTATTTTATGAAAATATATGCTTAATGCTATTACTACAATGCTGTTTGTATTTCCACTAGCTCATCTTTATTAGGCATTAATGAAGCATCAGGCATTATTTTACATATTTTAACTCACTTAATTTTAAGATCTAGTAAGTAGATGCTAGTGTTATCTCAATTTATAAGTGATACAAATGAGGCATAGAAACTTGAAAGGCTTACATGTCTTTGTTTCCTCTTAATTTTTTTTAAAAGCTTGAAATCAGGGAAAACTTATTTAAGTTATTTTGAAAGCACACAGCGTACAGAATATTTGTCCTAGTTTTATTATGAAATGTAAAGCTTAGATGTACCTTTACATCTAGGTTTAATATTACAATATATTACACAGGTATATAAAGAGTTTTAAGTCAAAGGAAACAAATTAGAAATATTTGTAGGTACATAATGAAATAAAAAGAATACTGGCTCTGGTGTCTGCTAGAAAGTTGAACACAAGTTATTCTTTTTACAGCTGTGTGCTCTTAAGAGAACCTCAGTTTCCTCATCTTTAAAAGGGGACAGTAATATCTACTTTCAAGATTGTTTGAATGACATGTTAAAGTTAATATAAACACAACACATAAATACATACAGTCAATAAATGCTGATTTAGTACAAATGTATCTATTTTTAATCTCAGTAAATATTAACTGAGTAAAAGCTTATGGATCACCTTCTGCTTCCATAGGTAAAAATTTATGGATCACATTATGCTTAATGCTAATAACTCAGAAATGAATAAGTCCTTGCCCTCAACAAATTACATAAAATATCCCAATTTCCTGTTTAAAAATGTAAAGATTTATTGGACATTTTTGCTTAAGTGGTTTTTATAGTTTCTCACTTGTTTAGAGTATGCTAAACATAGCATAAATTTCTATGGTGACTTAAGATTATTATTTGGAAATAGCCATTATTGAGTACATATACTACATTCAAACTTATTATTAAGTAATTACTGAGACTGGAAATGCATGTTTTCACCTAAAACTTACCATTTTTGAAGGATATTATTTCAGTTTGATTTTTATGGTTTTTTATCTTTCTTTACTATTACTCTTGCTTTATGAGACAGCCACTCTGCTAGCTGGATTCTTAAATAAACACTGCAGAGAGAGGGCTAGGATCACATTTTTGCTAACCAGAGTTCATGCCCTAAATTCCTATATCTCTGCAATGAGAGAAATATGCTTCATTAAAGGGAAGTCTGGGTGCTGTCAGGACCACTAGGCTAGGTGTTAGCTGAAGAACTTATAGTGAGTAAGACTGTTATCCAGAGGCTGAGCACTGAGAGGCCTATATTGACATCTCTTTCTGCACAGCACTATGAAGTCTGGAGTGATGACTGAAGTTGCAGTGAAAACATATATTTACTAGCTATTACCTTTCTCCAGGAAAGTTTAGACTTAAAAAATAGTAGCTATTTTACAATGTAGTGCACTTGAGTTTTTTTTTTTTAATGTTCAATTGCACGTAGTACCCTGTGTATTTACAAAAGCGAGACATTGCAACCTTTGTTAATCCTGATATATCTCTTTGGGGATTAAAATTTGATGTTTGAAGAAAATTTGTATTCATATAGTTTATAGACCAGGGTCTTGGGAATTAAGAAAAATTATGTCTTAAAGTAGGGTGGGATTCGGGTAAGGTATGATTATAGATCTGGTATCATTACTTTCCTTGGCTCTGCCTGCATTTAATGATAAGTAAGCTCTTCTTCAGTTTATATTTTCTCAAGGAAGATAGAGGCTGCAGCAGGTCAAACCATTATAGCCATCAACAGGTCATGTCATCCCAAGGAAGGGAAATTGTCTGTGTCCTCGATTTCCCAGGTCAAGTCCTGAGCTTGACAATAGTTGTCCCAATGTTGAATGAATCGATGTGCCTAGGTGACTGCTACAAGCTTGCTGGTTTATGCCTGGATTATGTGGAACAGTTGCTAATGCAAGGGAGTGAAGATTACCTTTATGCCAATGAGAGCCCTCACCTGGAATGATGTCGTGCACTAGGTGATGGAGCACTGATAGTTCCTGAAATAAAAATATTTAATATTTTCAGGCAGAGTTTTCATGGGGAAGCGGAAGCCTTGGAGCCAATCACCAAATGTCCATTCTTGTAGAAAGTACCTTGTCAGGCTCAAAAACTAGTTACTAGGTTAGAATATGGTAGTAGCAATGAAAGAATATAGGATCAGAATCAATATCTTCTTTCTTAATCTTCGCTGATCTTTTCTTATATCTTGACTTCTAGGCCTTTGATTTATTTCTTATTGAGTTAAGGCAGTTCTGCACTATTTTATCAAAAAATCAGAACATGATTTAAAAAGTTCTATCAATGTAAAAGTTCAAGGATGCATAAACTTGGCATCTCATTCAGTAAATCATTCATTCTTTTAAAATCAATTATTTAGCTGATTTTGTTGTGCTCTCTGCACTGGTTTAAGTGAAGTTTTTTCCTTCTGTCACATATTCTTTCAAGGAATTTGCAATGAAGATCCAGATGATGATCTAAGGATGCAAAACGGCACAATTATTACAAATATGGAAGACATAGGATTATTTATTGAGAGCTGGGAAATTGAGAAATCATTTGAAGTAACAATGAGAAGACCTGTTAGGAATTGTACTGAGCATGATTGCAGCCACTGCACTGAGTTATTAAATAGAAGAATTTTCATTCCATGTCATGATAAAGTAAGTTGGAAGCAACCATAAATTATACTTTCATGTTATATATCTTGAGAGTAAAGGCCAATACATTACTGTTCTTGCTATGATGTTCTTGTACTAAGAACAAAACCCCCAAGCTTCTGTCAGTATGGTTCGGAATTCAGAATCATTTGTTGTTTACAGGCTTACAAACACAAGAAGGATAATTTTATTTCTTTTCTTTATGTTTTGTTAGAATTATATCTACAGCTTTCAAAAAGAATGAAAGTTTGTCCTATGGAAAAATGTCTCTAGGAGACAGAGATCAATGACATTTGATAACAGTATCAAAACCAAGATAGTGAGGCTTTAATCAGTTCCTTATTATCCTGGCCTCTTAGGCATATACTTGAAATAGAATCTGTCACTTACTCAATTTACTTCATCTTTATTAGTCTCCAACTTTCTGAGTTTAAGTGATAGATAGGAATTTTAAATAATCTGTATTGTTAAAAAAAAGATCCATTACTAAAGACAATGGACAAATACACTATTTCATGTATCATTTAACTAAAATTTAGTGATCATCTAGCACATAAAATCACTGTTAGATTCCTTTGATAGAAAATGAATAGGACGCTTTTCTTGCCCTCAAGGAGCCTAGTAGGAAGGCAAGTCTGTGAGCAAACACATTAAAATATACATTATGGAGGTACATAGGAGCACAGGTTTGGGGAAGGCTTCATGGAGTTTTAGATCTTTGAATTGTTTAGAAGTATGAGTTTGCCAGGAAAGAAGAGGGAGAGATGGAGTTCCAGGCAGAGATATCAATGCAATGGTCCTTTATTATCTGTGGGAGGTTGGTTCCACAACCCCCACAGATACCAAAATCCCTGGACACCCAAGTCCCTTTATAAAATATAGTATAGTATTTGCATATAACCTACACAATTTTCCCATATATGTTAAGTAATCTCTAGATTACTTATAATACCTAATATAATATAAATGCTATGTGCATAGTTTTTATACTGTATTGGTTTTTACATCTTTATAATTTTAATTCTTGTATTACTTTTTATTTCTTTTTCTGAATATTTTTGAGCGCTTGTTTGGAGGTTCTAGCAGGGGAGTGCAGCTGCTTGTATACCCTTGGCCGAAGACCGGTCCTCTATCAGGAATAGTCATCGCCTTCAACTGAATGCACAACTTTGGGAGGGATGTACTTGGAGTGGTGAGGGAGTAATGGGACACTTGCCTAGCCAGCCAGATCATCTGAATCAATCCTGGCAGTCAATAGGGTGACATGTTGCAGCCAGATCGCTCTCACATTGGTTTTTCTGAATAATTTTCATCCATGGTTGATTGAATATATGGATGTGGAACCCCTGGGTAAAGAGGGCTGACTGTATATGCAAGAGAAAATTTGGTTTAAAGGCCATGAAAGGAAAATATTGAAAGAGTTTGGTGCGATATCTATGAAGAGAAGAGTCTGGGAAGGGAAGCAAGGGAATTGTCAAGTCAGGAAGGAGCTCACTGTGAATAACCTTTGATGCTGCCCTATGCATTCCCTGAGGGAAAACACAAAAAGTATGAAGTCATGGGATGAAAATGGCATATCTTTATGGAGTTTCAGTTTTACTTGGAGATTTGGATGAAAATAAGTTTTAAATGTTCACATTTTTAAAATGCATACACGTAAACATGAAGAAATAGCAAATACTTTAAAACTCATTTCAGTGCCACTTTAGTCTTTTTTTTTTAAAGCATCATGATTTTTTAAAATTGCATTTTTAACTGGGAACTTGAAAGGTTGATTATATCAGGAAACTTTCAGCTTGACTATTCAATGCATAATGAAGCAACATACGATACCATTTAGTCTGTGATAGCTTCTACTTTTCCTTTAAAATCCTCCAGTATGTAACAATTAGCTGGGTATGATGGCACACGTCTATTATCCTGGCTATTTGGGAGACTGGGGTTGGAGAATCCCTTGAATCTGGGAGGTGAAGGCTACAGTGAGCTGAGATCATGTCATTGCACTCCAGACTGGGCAACAAGAGCAAAACTCCATCTCAAAAACAAAACAAAACAAAATCCTCCAGTAAATTTGACAGCAAAAAAATTTAAAATCCAAATATACATGAGGAATTGGACACTAGCATACATGGATAATCTAACAATTATAATAGATACCTTAATGCTTACTTAAAGAGTGGGTTTTGTTTATTGTAGAAATATAAAATGAGCACTAAGTTATGTTGTGTTTTATGCTGGAAAATCAAAATCAACAACTACAAAACTATTCCTAAGGTAAAATCTAAAAACCAATCATGTAGAATTTAAGGACTATTACTAGAATATATTGCTTGATTGTTTATTTTATAAATAATAAGTAATCTTGGCTGAAAACTTCAGAACTAGTTTTAGAATCATTTGGAAGGTCAGGCTTGTCCATCAAGATCCTCATAAATCCAACACTCTCTTCACAAGGAACATCTTGCTTTTATATTTTCTTAGGCTGTTCAAAGATGATGGGATAAGTTTTTACAATTTTTTTAAGTGTTATAGTTTGAATATCTTTTGCAACAAAAGAAAGTTAATTTGCCATTTTATCTGCTACAGAGATATAAATTAGTGTAACTAAAGAAGGTATTGGCTATATACATATATAGTCAATATAATTTTATATATATATAAAATTAAAAAAAATTTTTTTTGAGGAGTCTTGCTCTGTTGTCCAGGCTGGAGTGCAGTGGCGTGATCTCGGCTCACTGCAGCCTCCACCTCTCTGATTCAAGTGACTCTTCTGCCTCAGCCTCTTCAGTAACTAGGATTACAGGCATATGCCACCAAGCCTGGATAATTTTTTGAATTTTTAGTAGAGATGGGGTTTCACCACATTGGCCGAGCTGGTCTCAAATTCCTGACCTTAAGCGATCCACCTGCCTCGACCTCCCAAAGTGTTGGTATTACACATATGAACTGCCACACCCAGCCATGGCTATAATATTTTTATAGTCAGAGTTGAAAATGTAATTTTTCATCATGGAAAGAAAAGATAAATAAAACCTGAATAATGTAAATGAATTATTTTAACTGTAATGGTAAAGAAGAGCTTACAAACTTGGCTTATTTAGCAGATTTTCTTTCAAGTGTGACCAAGTTAAAATATTATAAAAGAAGTTTGAGAATAAGATAAAAATAATTGACTGTAGGAACTACTAGCACTTTCAGACTCTCAGGTACTCAAAGCCTCTAGATATGTTTCCTTGAGAAACTAAAAGAGACTCTTACAAAGCTTATGAGGATTCTACACACAGTAGCCTGTGTCTTCAGACAACATCTTTAACTGCATTCTGGTCATCATGATTCAGTGATAACTCTGGCACAGTGCATACAATAGTGGAAAATGCATTTTCTTGTTACTCACATAGTTCTTGGATATTGCAAAACTGAGGTAGAGAAGACATAGTATTGCCATCATGCTGAACTTGATATTTGGCATCATATCTCAATTCACTGCAGATTTCTTAAGTGAATATTTAGGGATCGAATGCAATACCAAAGTATCCATTAATTCATGAGATAGGCAGGGTGTATTTCTTTTCTTTTTCTCTCAAAGTCTCAAGCGTTAAGACATTATTTTTATTTAAAATACACAGACTATTAAGCACTAGAATGTAAAACTTGCATGACTTCAAAAAAGATACTTCAAAGAAATTTTGAGTTTATAGAGACTTCTTTGGGCTGAACTCTAATCAAACTTGAGATAAAGTTTCCACTTCTCTACCTTCTGCTTCTAAGAGTTACTTTCATTAAAGTCCTATTGCAAGAAGAAAAAAAGAAAGCTAAGAACTAAAAAAATGGGAGTATCATTACAATTTGCTCAATAGATTTGTATGAAGGCCTGAAGCAGATGGGCTAGACAGGTATAACAAGGTAGCTAATTAAAAGGTCTTTGAGTAGTTTTTATTTGCTTATTGTAACCTTTTATTACGGTAATATTTACACATTCACAGAAGTGGTGGGAACAATATAAGAACCTTTAGGTGTCCGTCACCCAGATTTAAAAAATCATTTAAAAATTTGCCTCTCTTTTTTTCTGCCTATCTTCCTCACTTCTGTCCACACCCCGCCCCTGTTGAATTATTTTAAAGCAAATCTACTTTGGGAAAATGATGGTGGACTCTGCTGGTCAGGGAGAAGCAAGTGAGGATAGCTGCATGTTCAAAAAGGAAAGATGGCATTTGGGAGACATTTGGGACATGGAATGGGGAGGATTTAAGGACCAATTAGATGTTAGTGCTAAGGGAGGGTGAGCATTTATAGATGACTTCAACTTTCTAGCTTACACAGAGTAACATGTCCAGATAAAGAAATTCTTCATGCCTTGTTGAGTCTCAATCTGTGCCATCCAAGCTATCACCAAGTCTTATGGGGTCCACTCCCAAAATATTTCAATATCCATGCATTTCTTCCCACCACCATTTGAATCTAGACAACTATCATCTCTTGCCTGGTCCAGTGACAAAGACCTATAATTCCATTTTTCTACCACTGACTTTCATCCTCATTTGCAAATCTCTACAAAGCAGGCAGAATGATCTCTTAAAATTATTAACAGGATTGTGTGATTTCTCTACCTAAAATTCTTCAATGTCTTTCACTTAGAGTACATTCCGAAGTTCTTACCAGTGCTGACAATGTCTTCTGTGATGTGGCCCATGTACTTCTCCAGCCACATCTTGTGCTAAGCTCTTCTTGTTTGCTAAACTCCAACCATTTTTGCCTCCTCTCAGCTCTCTTAATATTCAAAGAATTTTTTTCTGCCAAAAGGCTATTCTTCTTGCTGTTTCCCCTGCTGGAATACTTGTTTCTTTGAATCCTTTTTAGCATGGTGGCTTCTCTTCACCTTATTCAAAGGCTTTGTTTTTGTCATTGTTGAGATCCATAAGCAAAAAACAGGTCTGTTTTATTTACCTTTATTCTTATGCATAGCACAGTGCCTGATATGTAGTTAGGTACTCAATAAATGATAAAAATGTGTATCAATTAATAAGTAAGTAGAGAATACAGAAGAATCAGCTTTTGTGGGCTAAGTAGAGAAGGGATACAATTTTTTATTTTGGGCAGATGAAGTTGTGTGCATCGTCAAAGTAGAAACATCCAGCAGAAACTCTGGAGCATAATTTGGGAGTTCAGAGGAGATGAGTTGAGGCCAGAGATCAGGTTTGAAGAGCTATTAGTATATGGATTTTTAAAAATAATGATAATTTATGATGTGCCAGGGTTTTTTTCTGTACATTTTCCATATAATAGCTTACTTAATTTTCACATTAATATTAGGTAGTAGTTGTTGTTAATATTAATTCTATTTCACACATGAAGAAACCAAGACAAAAGTTTAAATTTCTCAAATGGTGATAGAAACCATGGGAACAGATGAGCTTGGGGAGAGCATTTTCAGTGAGAGAACATTACCATTGAGGATAGGCTGTAGTAAAACAGAATGAGAGGCAAGTAGAAGAGACAGTGATCAAATAGATGGAAAGGCAACGGAGTGTGGTACCTTTGAAGTTAAAGGAGACAACACTTTAAGCAAGTGGACATCCTAATGGCAATATAGGCTTCTGAGGTCAGGGAGGATTTAGAATATCAGTTTCATTGCATTTGATTAATGACCAAAGCAAGTATTCTGTGCAAAGTAAGGTGGTTGGAAACTGAGAAGATTTCACAAAGAACACTAAAAAGAAAGTTGAATCTTAGGGGTTTTCTGCATCTTTAAAAACATGAATTTTATTTTTATATTGACAGATAAAAATGTATGTGTTTACTGTGTACAACGTGATGTTTTGAAGTATATATACGTTGTGGAATGATGAAATCTAGCTAATTAACAAATGCATTACCTCATGTAATTATCACTTGTGTGGTGATAACACTTTATATCTACTCTCAGCATTTTTCGATAGTACATTATTAATTATGGTCACCATGTTGTACAATAGATCTCTTGGACTTCTGCCCATCTAACTGAAATTTATGTGCCCTTTCACATCTTCCCAACCACTTCAGCCCCTAGTAACCATAATTCCTTGGTTGATTCTATAAGATCAACTTTTTTAGTTTTCACATTTGAGTGAGTTCATGTGGTATTTGTCTTCCTGTGCCTTACTTATTTCACTTAACATCATGTTATTTGGTTTAACTCATGTTGTCACAAATGACAGGGTTTCTTTCTTTTTAAAGGATAAATAATATTCCACTGTATATATTTACCAAATTTTCTCTCTTCATTCATCCATTGTCAGATCTGTAAGTTGATTTTATATTTTGGCTATTGCAAATAATGCTACAGTAAACATGGATGTGCGGACATCTCCGTGACATACTGATTTCATTTTCTTGGATATGTACCTAGCAGTAGGGTAGCTTGATTATATGATAGTACTATCTTTAATTTTTTGAGAAACCTCCATATTGTTTTCCACAATGGCTGTACTAATTTACATTCCCACCAACAGTGTGCAGGGGTTACCTTTTTTCTACATCGTCTTCAAATATTTTTTGTGTGTGTGCTTTTGGTAATGGCCATTCTAAACAACTGTGAGGTAATATCTCATTGTTGTTTTAAGTTGTATTTTTCTGATGATGAATGATAATAAACTTGCTGGACATTTGCACATTTTCTTTGAGAAAGATCTATGCAGGTCCTTTGATCATTTTTAAATTGGGTTATTGGTTTTCTTGTTAAGTTGTTTGAATTCCTTATGTATTTTGGATATTAACCCTTTATTAGATGTGTAGTTTGCAAATATTTTCTCCCATTCTGTAGGTCATCTCTTTATTGTGTTGACTGTTTGCTTTGCTGTGCAGAAACTTTTAGTTTGATGCAATCCCATGTGTCTATTTTTTCTTTTGTGGTCTGTACTTTGGGGTTCATATGAAGAAAATTATCCCTCAGACCTGTGTCCTAGAGCTTTTCCTCTGTTTTCTTCTAGTGGTTTTGTAGTTTTAGGTCTTACAGTTAAGTCATGTCTCTTTTGAGTGGATTTTTTGGATATTATGTGAGTTAAGGATCTAATGCTATTCAACTGGAGGTGAATATCCAGTTTTCCCAGCATTATTTATTGGAGAGACTTTTCTTTCCCCATTGTGTGCTCTTGGCACCTTTGTCAAAAATCAGTTGGCTGGCTGTAAATATGTGGATGTATTTCTGGGTCTCTGTTATGTCCCATTAGTCTATATGTCTGTTTTCATGCCATTGGTTTTTATAGATACAGACCCTGAGAAAAGAAGATGGGCTATGAAAAATGCTAAGTATTTTGATTGGCTACCTTGGCCTGTATCAGAATTTGGCATCTAAATTTAGATACTTAACATGTACCTGCTGAATAATGAGTTGAGAGAAAAATGGAATATTGTAGTAAGCTACATTATTTATATTTTAGATGTCTCTACATCAAAAGGGAACATATTCTATAGGAAAAAAATGAGTCTCTAATTAAATTGAAGCGTGCCAAATTTTACAAATTATGTAACTAACATTAAATATTAATACAAGTTTTGAGAAGCATATAAACTTGATTTAATAAGCAGTGCTGTATACCATTATAGAATGCTTTGGGAGCTTCCAATTTAATCTATAATTGTTCAAACTCTTATTCAGTATATAGAAAAGTCAGTTGTAGCCCACAGTGGATATTAGAAATAAATTTTTGCTTGGGTCCACATACTCTATTTTCTTTTCCATTTTTATAAGAAAGATTTGTGTAGATTAGTGCAGATGGTATTATCTTACTTAAATGTGTTTAGAGTGATGTTTAATATCAAGAATTTTTGAAAATGTAAGGTCTTTGATGAAGTATAATGAATATTAACTTGCTACCCTTTGAGTTTCCAAATAGTCATAGTCTAGTTTAGGACTTTCAGAGAAATAAAAGTACATAACTAATTTCAAGGCAAAATGTTTCTCTAGGTTTCACCAAAAGACTTCTGTGAAAAGATGTGGATTAATTATACCTATTTTTGGAATTATGAATGTGATGCACTTTCTGCATATGTGGCTCTGTGCAACAAGTTTGATATCTGTATTCAGTGGCGAACACCTGATTACTGCTGTAAGTAACTGTTAACTGTATAATATTTTTCAATTATAAATACATTTCATGTTTGCAATCACTTCTTTCCTTCCTTTTTATTTTTTTATCACAAACTAATTTAGTAAGCAGAAAATGCAAAGAAGAAGCTAGTATATCTCAAATAAAGTTATATCATTCAATTTCAGAAATAAAACAGTCACACATGAAGCTCCCTGTGTGCCTTTTCCAACCCTTTCCTCTCTTTTTTCCCTGAGTGGTAATCACTATTCAGAAGGGGCATTGCTGATTCACTGGGAATGCGTGTCATTTCCAATTTCACTAGACACTGTCAAATTATTCTCCACTGAGATCGTACCAATTTATAATCCCACCAGCTGAGCATTCAGTTTTTAATAGTATGACTTTTTACAATCATTGACAATCCATAAGGATTTTCTAAAGCATCGTTTATAAACTGCTCAGCAATAGTAATTTCTTTTGACAGTGAAGGATCAAACCTAAACATATGACATTTTTATTTTTTATGATTTGGTTGAGTTATATACTGAAAATGTATTTCAGTTTTAATTCTGAGTAAACTGTTGTTATCCCTTCTCACTGCACAGAGCAATAATTTCATAATAGTTGATTGTATGTTTATTCCAACCAGACTTGGGCTGCCTGTTGGTCATATTTATTTGTTGTACATCTGATGAGTGTTTCCCACCATAACAGCTAATAACAGTAGACCCTTAGAGATGCTTAAAAATTGCAAAAATATGCAAAAAAAACCAAACACATTGATGCCTTTATTTCTGATTTATGGTTACAGAGTAAATGAAAAATGGAATTTGAAGAGACTAAAATTTACAAAATTTATTTTCTAAAAGAAATTTGACATTTTTTTCTGTTACTAGAAATTTAAATAGGTTGCTTTTACTATTAGCAAATTTTGTCCCCTATTCTTCAAAGCCCTGAGTTGTCCAGAAGGGAAGGAATATCAACCCTGTGTGCGATCTTGTGAAGCAAGAACATGCCTGAACCAATGGTTCTATGGACACTCTTCCTGTTTGAATTTAAGAGAAGACTGTGTGTGCAAAGATGGAACTATTCTTCACAGGCCACATTCAACCCAGTGCATTCCAGAGAAAGAGTGTGGTAAGACGCAGAGCACAAATGACTTCTTAGGGATCTGGCAAACAAACAAAAACAATTTTTGAGACATTGGAGAGATGTGCTAACAAAGATTTATCAAAGACAGCCTAAGTGTTAGAAAGGAAATGAATTTGTTTTTTTGATTTTAACATTATTTCAAAAGAAGTTAATTGTTATAAAAGTATCAGTGATAATGTGTTTTAATCTTTACCTCTGCCTGTAATAACTGGGAAAGAGCATGGCAAATCAAGAATTAAGAGTAGATAATGGACTGAACTCAAATTCAAGTTATTTCATGGATTAGTGGTTTACTTTTACTCCTGTGAGTCTCAGGTCATGCATCTGGAAAGTGAGGAAAATTATAGTGCTTATCTCATAAGGTTAGCGTGGGGTTACATAATTTAGTAAAAAGCATTTTGCATTTAACATGATGCCTTGGGAAAGTAAGCATGTAAGAAATGGCAGATTACATATTATTCTCTGAGTGTTATGATTTGGATGTGGTTTGTCCCCACCAAAACTCATGCTGAGGCTTGAACCCCTTGTGTGGCAGTGCTGGGAGGTGTGGCCTAGTGGGAGGTGTCTAGGTCATGGAGGCACTGCCCTCATCAATAGATTAATTCCTTTTCAAGGTTGTGAATGAGTTATTGCTTTTGTGAGACTGGATTAGTTCTAGCAGAAATGGAATCTTTCCCTCAAGTGCAGAATGTCATAAAGGGAGCTTCCTCCTCATGTCTGATTCCTCTACACATCTGTCCACCTCTCCCTTGACCTTCTACTATAGTACAAGGCAGGAGAAAAGCCCTCACCAGGAGCTAAGTAGATGCTGGTGCCATGCCCTTGAACTTCCCAGCCAGCAGAAGTGTGACTAATGAACCTCTTTTCTTTATAAATTACTCACTATCAGGTATTTTCTTAGAGCGACACAAAATGGACTAAGACACTGAGGGAACTTATTTGGTATTTCTAATTTTATTTTCAAACAATTTTATTTTGATCATTGTCTCCATGGTGGTGGCAGATGAAAAAGTGCAAAACTGAGACAATTGCAGCACAGGACTTGTGAGTCATAGGCTTCTTTATTATGGTCAAAAGAAAATGAATTGACGAATAATTAAAGAAAAAGGCAAGGAGAAGTGAAATGCATATATAGTTTTAGAAATAAGCTTGTGTTTGCCAGTATAGAAAGTATCTGTGGAAGACTCTGAGGATATATAGGTGTGCTTATATTTGTTCTTTAGAGATCTATGAGATTTAGTTTTATAGTAAATAGGATAAGAGCTCACTGCAAGCTGGGGATAAGGTTGATCATTTATGATTTGGGGGAATAAGATCATTAACATTTATCATTATTATTCCTTAAAAGTACTACTAGGTGGTCATATTTATCATCAAATAAAACTTTTACATAAAAATAATAGTCACTAAATAATATTTTTCTTGATTGTCTACTTTCTACTTTTAGATTTTAAAGCAGAATTATTTTGAATTTTCATATGATATAAATGTTATAGGAGATAGGGACTACCTTGTTTTCTAATCCCACTCATTTTTAACAGTTACTATTTTCAAATTAATTTAAATTTATATTATTGAATTTGATTGGGCTAAATAAATTATATTGACAGGACTTAAAATGTATCAAAAATAATAGATCATTTTATTTATAGAAGACATACAAATTTACAGGTGGTTGTAAAAGGAAAAAAATTCTTTTCTTTCTTTCCTTCTTTCTTTCTCTCTCTCTCTCTCTTTCTCTCTCGACAGGGTTTACTCTGTTGCACAGGCTTGAGTAAGTGGTCATAGCTCACTGAGACCTCAAATTCCCGGCCTCCAGTGATCCTCTGGCCTTAGCTTCCTGAGTAGTTGGTACTACAGGCATGCCTCTACGCTTGGCTAATTATTTTTTTTTTTGGTAGAGACAAGGTCTTTCTGTGTTGCCCGGGCTGGTCTCAAACTCCTGGCCTGAAACATTCCTCCCTCCTTAGCCTCCCAAAGTTCTGGGACTATAGGCATGAGCCACTGCACCCAGCTGGGAGAAAAAAATATTTTCTGTGGACTAAGTATAAACTTTCATTAAAGAAAAATGTAAGTTAGTGGATGATGAAAGAGAAACCTGAGAAAAACAATAGACTTGTGACACATCATCTATGTTGCTGGGTCATGTCACAGTCTGAAACCAAAACATGGTGGCATGATTTATTTTAGTGCCCAGGTTATGAGTGTTATAATACTGTTGATCTTTTTAAAGCATGCACTGATAGTGAAGACCAACCCCGCACTGCTGGGGAGATTTGGAATGGGTGCATTGATGAATGTGCTCTATACAAATGTTTGGAGAATGGAAGCATTATTTCTATAGAACCTGACTGTGATGAAGAGCCCACTCCAGTTTGTGAACGAGAAGCTGAAGTTGTCATGGGCATCATTGATAAATGGACCTGCTGTTCAAAGGGAGTTTGTGGTATGTATGCAGAAGCCTTATAGTCAATTGATTCCACAAAATATGTTGATATTCTTTGTGAAAAAGCAGAGCACATATAATGATTTGTATTTTTAAAATGTGCCATAAATGTCATTTTCTCAATGTAAGTTTTGTTTCATTACAATTTTGTCAAATAAGCATGAAAAACTGGCTATTTACAATTAATAACACTCAACAAAACATGAGAAGAGGAAAGATCTTGAAATCATTGATTTATGAGTCAAGGGTGAAAGATAATCGAAAAACCTCAAAACTGCTGCATTTTCACATATGGTCCATTTTGTTAGCTGAATGGGTTAACTGCAGTGTAAAAACATGCAGAATGAGAGTCATATCTCTGCTTTGAGTTCCCTGCTTTGAGTTGGCAGTCATTTCTCTGTTTTGAGTTGGCAGATTTTAGTTGTGTTCACTAATATTTTAACAGTTTTTCTTATTTATAGGATGCAACATGACTTTGTGTGAAACTACCATCCCATCATGTACGAATAGTCAAAAATTGATTGTTGGCCACAGTCCTCTTTCTTGCTGTCCACAGTACAAATGTGGTAAGTAATCAATATAGAAAATTAAGAATGAGGTTCACCGTTTATTTGGAACAGTGAATTAGATTCTCATTCTTTTTGTCTCCAAGACAATGATTTATTATAGAAGATTGTGGAACTGTCTTGCTAATTTTTTAAACCTGGTACATATCATATGTATATATATACATATATGCTTAATAACTTTAAAATAAGTTATTTGTTACTAAATTCAAAGAGGAGTAAACACAATGTGATTATTTTATCACCTCAGGCTATACAAATTTTCTAATATCATTGTGTTTCTGCAGAATGTGACCCATTGAAATGCCCCAGTGTTTCAACACCAGAATGCAGAGAAGACCAATTCATGATTCAAGTTCAACAGGAAGAACCTTGTTGTTTTTCCCCTCTTTGTGGTGAGTATTCTAGAGACAATTTCTTGGAAGAAGAGAGACGATCCAGGGAAAAATCTCTTATTTAACGTGAATTTTATGGGACTGATGGTAACCAATATTCTGATGTTATAGGAATTCAACTGAATGAGAACTATCATAAAGTATGACATTTTAAATGACTAGACAATTATGATAAATACCTTCCCCATCAACGAAAACTATATCTATCAGTCCAAATATAACCCAGATATTTGAATCAAGTTTTTTTTTTCATAATAAGGCCAATGCCTAATTTTTTTGAAGAAAAGTTTAGCACTGGCTTTCCTTGAAGAACCAGCTTGAATAATGGGATCTGCAAAGACTTTATAGGACATCTTTAAAACTTTATGTCCTGTATATCATGTATGAGCTATCATGACCTCAAAAAAGAATAGGAGAAACAGTGTCTGGAAAATGACTGGAGCTAAATATTCTGCCTGGCTAGCTGAACATTGAAATAGAAAAAATTCTCCAGTTTTTTTTTTTCAGATGAATTATTATATCAAAGATTGCTTGATAATTAATATAGTATTCAGAAGTAATCAAAACACTTTCTTTGTATCAGTTAAGATTCATTGACTGCAAGTGGCAAAACTGATTGATTCTGGCTAGATTTAGCACAACCCATTATTGGAAGAATCTGGGGAAGTAGGATCAAAACAAAGCAGAACAGTCAAGCCCCAGGAAGGAGAGAAATCAGCTGCTCTAGGTAGAGGTAACTAATGACTGAGCCAACTTCATTTTTTTTTCTTCAGTTGATGTGTCTCGATATATAACTCAAATTCCATCCAAAGGGATTCTGATTACTTCTATGTTTCTACAGAGTGGCCTCGTGATGTGAGGCATCTTTAAAGATAGTCACTCCAAAACCATGTGGGTGGTGCATTTCTTTAAGGTCATCCAGAGAATAGTTATCAAAGTTGAAATGGCATGCTGAAACAGCCCAAAAGAATAAATGCCTACTACATTTTCATCCCTAAATGCAAGTAATCAATGACAGTGAATTAAGAAAACATAAATAAATAAATAAATAAAATTTTGATCATAATAAGAAAAAATTACCTAGGAAATCTGAATGTTCTACTTTTCTGGTAAGATGGTGTTCTATATGTCACTGTGCTTGGAAAGCACAGTGCAATATACTCAGGTAGCATTATCATTTTTGTGACCAAATAAGGTGATACACCTTATTTTTCTTTTACTATTTTCTTAAACAAAATTGATTTGATTTGATTTGTGTGTGATAATTTAAACTCATATTATAATTCATCATTTTTAACTCAGCTTTGACTGTTGGCTTTTTTTTCACCTTAGTTTGTGAATCTTGCACTGAACCTGTTCCAATATGTAATGATGGGGAATTTCTTACAGTAGATCTTAATAGCACACACTTCTGTTGTCCTCAGTATTACTGCGGTAAGTGTATATTAACTATTTAAAAATATTTCCATGTGTCCAATGTTTAAGAAACCCAGTGCATCTTAGTTGACTGTTACATCAGACCCATTTTCAAAGTTTTTCACTTGATGAGCTATCCTAGCACCAGTACTCTTTTTGAACCTGTTTATGTATCAATTGTTTTAACTTCACCAACACATGGCAATCCGGTGGTGGGAGAGGTAGCACTTGGGAAATCTTAATCCATGCATTTATGGCAGTGAACTAAATGGTAGGTAATGAGAAATGGCAAGTCTGTAAAATTTATCTTTACCCATGTAATTTTTCTTTTTAGTATGTGAGCCAAACCTTTGTCCTATGCCATTACTCAGCTGCACAGAAGATATGAATCTTGTGAAAGAAAATGTATCTGGTCAATGTTGCCCAACATGGCATTGTGGTAACTAATTTTCATATTTTAAGGTTTTATTATAATAAGTTAATTATTTTGAGGAATGTAAATATGTTGATTTTTGCCTTTCAGAATGTAACTGTGAAAACCTTGTTATGCCAACTTGTGAAGTGGTAAGAACACATATTTTGATTGACTTGTCATATTTATTTAAATCTGTTTATTTTTCCTTTATCTCTCTCATTTCTAAATTCTTCTCAGAGCTAATAAAATTATCCATATCAAATTGTACTCAACTAGATTAAAACAAAGTGCTCTGATATTAGGAAATAGCCAATAATTTATATTTTACTTGAGATAGGAAAATACAATATGTTATTTTTTTAACTGGTAATAGAATCTACTAGTTTTATATCAATTTAACTTTACTGGTATTAAACTGAAGCAAAATATTGAAAAAAATTATCTTAATATTGAGTGTTGTCTCTAATGATTCTTTAAGAAAGTGCACTAATAACACATCTGTTGTAGAGGAGAAGGGAATATAAACAGAACTGCCTGTATCTTCTTAACAGTTATCTACAAACATGTAAATCTTATGGAAATTTCAAGGATTTAATTTTTAGAAATAACAAGGATAACTCTGGTGTCACTTATTTAATCACTAAATGTATCCCGTGCTGCTTTACAAGTCTTTGTTTTCTTTAAATATTTATATTCATGATATGCCGATAAGTCTTCAGAAAGATAATATATTCCTGGCCCTGTGTGTTAGAGAAGACATGCTTTATTTTGCAAAGACATTTTACTTTGTTTTCCTTCTCAAACAATATGTACACTTAGAGAATTTATTCAGAATCTCCAGTTCAAAGCTATGTTATAAAGAATGAATGAGGTACTTTTTAAAGTAACAGAAACCCTCCTAGGATGCCACTGTTTTATTTAAAAAGCATTAATCCAACTTTTTTTTTAATGATGCTCTCATCTATGGTTTACAGAGGATGTTTAAATTTTACAAGTAATTCTCATAATAATTCTCTCATTTGATTATTTCGTGAGGACACAGTATATGCATCTACACAAGAGTAGAATTATGATGCCATGTATTTCTCTAGTTCTTCACAGTTACATAACGTATTAGGTATACTATCTTATTGAATCTTTACCAAGTCAGTACTTTACCTCATTTTATAAGTGAGAAAGTTGAGGTCCAAGAGAATAAATTATTGACTGAGATTTTCAGGATTCCAACCAAGGATTGCTTTTTGTGTGTGCATGCTTGTGTATTCTTTATTCTTTCTGCTCAGCCTTAACTCTTTCATTTCCCTTAGAAAATGTAGCCAAGGCACAACTTGAAACAAGAATGAAAGAGAATGTGAGACTGCCTTGTTTCTACCTTTCTCTAGCTGTGGCTCACTTCTCTCATTTGAAACATAAAAATAACAGCAATACCTTATCATAGGCGGTAAATAAATTAACATAATTTAAATGCTTAGTGTCTGACATATAGGAAGGGCTCAATCAGTATTAGTTATAAGCATTATTTTTTGGCACATTAAAACTTAAATTTCCCTATTTTTTTCCCCTTTACAAGTTAGAGCTATCCCTTTTCTACTTTCTGTCTTTTCTAGGACACATAGGTTTTCTAAAGGCAAACTGGAAGCACTGTACAATCTTTGTGTTTATTTTAATTTCATTTCATTTATTTGCCTATTTTTAAGATTAAGAAATAAAGATTGCATATATTTATTGTATAGGACGTTATTTTAAAATATGTCTACATTATGGAATAACTAAATTGAGTTACTTAACACATGTATTACCTCACAACATCATTTTATTTTTGTGGTGAGAACACAGAAGCTATTCCCTTATCAGTTTTTAAAAATACAATACATTGTTACTAACGATAGTCATTATGTTATCAAATAGATTTCTTGAACTTATTTCTCCTATCTAACTGAAATTTTGCATCCTTTGGTCAACATGTCCTATAACCTTACTCCCCTACCGCGGGCCTGGTAACCACCATTCTATTCCCTACCTTCTATGAGTTCAACTTTTTAAGATTCTGCATGTAAATGAGATCATGTGTTCTTTGTCTTTCTGTGCTTGACTAATTTCATTTAACATAATGTCCTCCAGGTTCATCCATGTCGTCTCAAATGACAAGAATTTCTTCTTTTCTTAAGTCTATATGGTATTGCATTGTGTATATATACCACATTTTCTTTATCTATTCATTCTTTGATGGACACTTGGGTTGATTCCATATATTGGCTATTGTGAATAGTGCTGCAGTAAACATGAGAGTGCAGGTATCTCTACAATATAGTCATTCTGTTTCCTTTGGACATATACCCAGTAGTGGAATTGCTAGATCATATAGTAATTCTATTTTTAATTTTTTGAGGAACATACATACTATTTTTCATAATGACTATACTAATTTACATTCCCACCAACAGCGTGCAGGGGTGCTTTATCTGCATCTTCACCAACACTTGCTATCTTTTGTCTTTTTGGTAATAACCATTCTAACAGATGTGAGGTGATATTTCATTGTGTTTTTAATTTGCATTTCCCAGATTATTAATATTAAGCATTTAAAAATATACTTGTTGGCCATTTATATGTTTTGTAAAATGCCTATTCAAGCCTTTGCATATTTTAAAAATCAGGTTATTTGGTTTTGGTTTTTTTTTTGATATTAAAGTGTTTGAGTTCTTTATGTATTTTGGATATTAACCCATTTTAGATGTACAGTTTGCAAATCTATTCTCTTACTCTGTAGGTTGTCTCTTCACACTGTTGCTTGTTTCCTTTGCTGTGCAGAAGCTTTTTAGCTTGCTATACTCCCATTTGTCTATTTTTCTTTCGTTGTCTCTACATTTGGGTTCATATCCAAAAAATCATTGCTGAGACCAATATCCTGGAGCTTTTTCTCTATATTTTCTTCTAGTGGTTTTATAGCTTCCAGCATTACACCTAAGTCTTTAATCCCCTTGGAGTTGATTTTTGTATGTTGATTTTGTATGTTGTGTGAAGTAAGGGTCTAATATAATTTGTCCGAATGTGGATATCCAATTTTTCCAACATCATTTATTAAACAGACTATCCTTTTCCTACTGTTCATTCTTGGTAACTTTGCCAAAAATTAATTGGCTGTAATGTATGAATCAATTTCTGGGTTCCCTATTCTGTTTTATTGGCCTATGTGTCTGTTTTTACGTTGGTACCATGCTGTTTTGATTACTGTAGCTTTGTAGTACATTTTGAAGTCAGGTAACATGATGCTGCCAGCTGTGCTCCTTTTGCTCAAAATTGCTTTGGCTATTTGGGGTCTTTTATGGTTTCAAGCAAATTTGAGGATTGTTTTATCTATTTCTGTAAAAAATCTCACCAGAATTTTGACAAGGTTTGCATTGAATCTGTAGAGCAATTTGGGTAGTATAGATATCTTAACAATAAAATTTGGGGAGCACATTAAAACTTAATGTCTTAAATCACTTTGTTATAATTTGTTACAAATTAAACATGATGCTCAGGATGTCGATCACATTATAGAGATCATTGTGAAGAAGTTTCTAGAGATGGTGACCATCAAGAAAAGCTTGGAAGAACATGATAGGTTAAAAATAATGGATGAAAGCAGTTGAACGATTCCAGGCAGGGGCTAATAGAAAGAGAAGTAAATTCACAAAGGTATGAGGTAATAGGTGTATGCAGAAAGAGCTAACTGAAGTAAGAATGAGATATAAAAATCTATACAAATTCCTATATTTGGGGAGGGTGTTATTTTATATTTTTATTTTCTAGAGACAGAGTCTGGCTCTGTTGCTTAGGCTGAAATACAGTGGCACAATCATAGCTCACTGCAGCCTTGAACTCCTGGCCTCAAGTGATTCTATCACCTTGGACTCCCAAAGTACTAGTATTACAGGTATGAGTCACTGCACTTGGCCAGGAGGGCTTTAAAGGCAAGGCTGAGGAATTCAGATTTGATTTATTCATTTGATTTATTCATTCATTATTTTCATTTATTTATTCAATCAACATTTGTTGATGATCAATTATGGGCAGTCATCATGCTAGACACTTGAAAAAGCACAATCCTACCCTGCGGAGCTCCGTGCAAATTTTGTATGATAGAAGAGGAAAGAGTCGTGCATAGGATGGAAATTATGATGAAAATGGTGTTTGAGGGAGATGTTTCTATTAGTGCATAGCAGGATATGGACAATAAAACATTAGAGTGCAGAAGATCAGCAAAGATACTGGTATAGCCACTCATGTATAAACATCTTGGGTATTGTGAAGTCGGTGTTAATTTAGGAGGGCAAAATGAAAGACCTTGGCCATTTGTAACATTGAACAAATGTGTTGAGGAGGGAAGAGGGAAGAGAGAGAGAGGGGGATAGGAAGCTAGAGAGAGAGGGTGGGAGAGAGAGAGAGAGAGCGATCTTAAAAAACTTTAAGGTTTCAATCCTTGCACGCCAGCAGTCCAAGATTACTAGGTCCTTGGACAAACATTCCAATGGCCAGAGGAACAGCTGAGTGTAGATGTCCTGGTATTTGACTTGTAATCAACCTAATTCAGAGCTCCTTTTTTTGGCCTGGAAAACGTGACATAGCATCTTGAGTCATTTCAATAACTTCAAATGTAACAAGAAAATCCTGGCCTTTCTTCCTATGGGATTTTATACTTCCTTTGTTCTAGACCCTTTGAAATTTTTGAGGGTAGAGGTCTCTACGTTCATTCATTAACCTTGGTCTCATTGTGACCTTAACTCTGTATTTTTATTTCCTTAGTGGATTTCTACCATTCTCTACTTTGTCTTTTCTTGTGTTTTCCTTCCCCAGCACTTGTGCTAGATGCTGGCCCATCTAGCTTATTTCCAGTCCAACTCTCAATGTCTGAATATTAATTATGAATCATATTTTGGCATTCACTATTCCAAGCATTTATTTAATGATTATTATATTGTTAGCACTGTGCTAGACACACAGAACATAACTGGTAGCTTGAATGTCTTTGAACATCTTACCCAAATATATATAACCCTCTATCCATGATGATCTAGTTTTAACATTCATGGTTCTACACAAGCATTTATCTGACTCATTGTTCCTGGTACTTACTCTGAATAATGGTTAATGTTGTTTCAGTGACTAAGGTGATTTTTTAAAATATCACATTAATTTATTCACATAGACAAATGTATCTCAACCTAAAAAGAGTATTTTAGGCCTTTACAATTTTTTTTTCAATAATAGCTTTATTGAAACAAATTCACCTAACATACAATACATCCATTTAAAGTGTACAATTCAGTGGCTTTTAGTATATTCACTGAGTTGCACAACCATCACCACAATCAATTTTAGAAGAATTTCACCAGTTAAAAAAGAAACCCTGTACCTATCAGTAGTCATTCCTCATTTCTCTCCAAACTCTCCTGCTCTCAGAAATCTCCACTCTACTTTCTGTCTCTTTGTGTATTTCTGGTTTTGGTATTTCCTATAAAGATAATCATATATATGATCTTTTGTATCTGACTCTTTTTACTTAGCATGTTTTCAAAGCTAATTCATGTTGTTGCATGTGTCATGACTTCATTTCTTTTTATTGTTAATAATATCCCATCATATGGATATACCTTGACATTTATCCAAATAAAATATACAGATGATCAATAGCACAAGAGAAGATGTTTAACATCATTAAGTATCACTTAAATTCAAATCAGAACTATAGGGAGATATCACTGCACATCTTGCCCAAATATACATAACTTTCCATGTATATTAACCCATTGTATTAACCCACTAAAAAGACCCAAAAAAAAGACATTTGCAAGGATGTGGAGAAATGGAAACTCTTATACACTACGGATGGCAATGTAAAATAGTGCAGCTGCTTTGGAAACCACCTTGGCTATTACTCAGAAAGGTAAATGTAGAGTTACTATGTAACCTGGCAGTTTCACTCCTAAATATATACTGATGAGAAATGAAAACATATGTCCACATAAAAACTTATATTTGAATGTTCATAGCAGCACTCTTCATGATAGCCCAAAGTGGAAGCAGCCTAAAGTGATTTTGCTGCAGACTTTAAAGGAGAGGGATGATCATTTGGGAGTAAAAATTACCATATTTTTTCAGGTAATATTTAATATTGGTAGAGCAATCAAAGAGGCATTTCCTCTTGGTCAAACTGGCTACTTAGAATAAAAGCGTAATTTAATATGTGGATAAGGGCTCAAAGGATATGAGTATAAAAGGATAGATTTAAGCCTAAGCTCAAGGAAACAGAGTTAACATTATGGCTTTAACTATTAAAAAACAGGCATATATGTTACCTAAAAGAGTTAATGTGAGCCTAATGCCATCTTTTTAAAATCTTTGGAGTAGTCATGCACTGGGAGAATTTGATTTATTTTTTAACTACATTATTCTAACATTTATTTCAAGTCCCATTGGTATTGTCTAATGACTAAAGTCCTAAAACATCAAATGAATTAATGTTCATAAAACTACTTTACAACTTATAAGCCACATGAAAAGCAAGAAATTGTTAGCTTATGAGAAAAAATGCCTTTTATATGAATGTATTGGAATCATTTATTTGTGTCAAGAATCAAATTCATTTTATTACTAATGTCATGTGAAAATTAAATGCATCCAAAAAAAGCTGATGCTTTAAATACCATTCTTGAAACTTTAAGCCTGGTCCTGTATTTGGTAGGAAGAATCTCTGTCAGTCCTGATAGGGCAAGGTTTGAGCATCTGTCATAGTAACAATGTACTAACAGCAAAAGGCTCTATAGCACTTTCTGTGTGTCAGCCCTATTCCAAACTTTTTACAGATATTGATCCATTTATTTCTCTCAACAATCCTAAGAGGTAGGCAGTATTGTTATCTCCATATTGCAGATATGGGAAGTGAGGAGCAGATTGATTAAGTCATGTACCCTAAATAAAAAAGTTAGTAAGTTATGGAGCCAGGACTGGCGCAAAGGCAGTTCCATTTGTAAGACTGCTATTAACCACTATACTATACTCATTCGTTGCTGCTGTATATACTATAGCAGCTTTGTGCAGGTGCAGACATCAGGCCCCGAGCTGCCTCCGTAGAGCAGATTGAGAACATTTCCAGAAGCAAAGTTCCCAGGGTTGGCAAATGTTATCTTTGATTGCCCTACAGAAGCTCAAAATCAAACAATATGATTCTAAAGTATCTGGCTGTGTGATAAGGAACTTATTAGATGTTATCACTGAGTATGTATGTGTATGTGTGTATATATACGTACATATATATATATAAAACAATTGTTATATAATAAGTTAAATGGTAAGTAATAGTCATATATTTCCAATAGGGAGAATTTACTACAATAGACCATAACTTCCAGAGTGATTGTGGATGCATACAGTATCTCTGTGGTAACTATGTCTTTTATAACTTTTAAATTATAAATAAATATTATTGGCATCTGTTTTTCTTTATTATTAAGTTAAAATCTCATTTTTTGAGACACATATTATACATTTTAAGCCATTTGCCAATATTTGAGTATTAAAATGTATTTTATGTTTTGAGTTCCTCTTTTGTAGTATCTCTAAATGTTCTGAGACCTGGATAACAGGACAGAAATATAAATATTTTTTCAGAAGCCTCGGGTTACTTTAAAGTTGATATTAGGCACTTTTTAATATGTCCATATTTAATTAAAAATATAGACATATAAAGAGTATGAAGTTATGTCCATTATGTTATTATTATTAATTTGTTTTTATTAAGACAGAGTCTTGCTTTGTCACCCAAGCTGGAGTGCAGTGACCCTGTCCTAGCCCACTGCAGCCTCGAACTTCTGGCCTCAAGCAATACTTCCACCTCAGCTGGTACTACAGATGTGCACCACCACACCCAGCTTTTTTTTTTTTTTTTTTTCTCTGAGAGTTGAGGTCTTGCTATGTTCCCCAACCTGGTCTAAAACTTCTGGTATCTAGCAATCCTCTTGCTTCAGCCTCACAAAGTGCTGGGATTATAGGTGTGAGCCACTGTGCCTGGCCAAGAACTCATATTCCAAACTTGCTATAAAATATAGCTTTTGGAGGAAGTTCAATCAGTAAACAGCAGTTGCTTTTACAGATAAACTTTTATTTTATGTTAAGGAATAGTACTACATTAATTATCAAGTAAACTATTGGATTATTAACAATACATAAATGTGAAGATCTTCATTAGTTTTGAAAAATTGGTACATCACAACATAAACATAGACTCAAGTATAAGTTCCAGTGATGGATTAAAATTCAATAGTATATTTTCTTATTGACCATTTTTTCTATTCTTAGAAAAGGATGATGTGTGTGTATTTCAAGAAGTATCAGTATTGAATCCTGGACAATCCATGATAAAGTATTTGGAAGGGGATTTTTGTTGTACAATAGAGTGTCTGGAAGAAAAAGATAACCATACAGGCTTTCACACTCTGAATTTTACACTGCTGAATTGTTCAAAAAAATGTGATGTTGTAAGTATTCTTTATAAGTCATTCTGGTGAGAGTTAATGTATTAAAAAATGACAGAACTATGGAATAAAACAGTGAATACTCCATTAATTGAAAATACACACTGTATAGTTCTTTAGTAGTCTACTATTCTGTAATACATCTATAAAACATATACTTTCACTTTCCTGTGTATGACCTTGAACTTCAGGAGCCTTATTATCTACAGCTTGCCATATTGCTTTACCTGAGGTTGTTAGATCTGCTTGATGAATTTGGCTGTCAGAACTAAAGGTTAATATCTATCTCACTTCTAATATAACCATATAAAGTCAATTATTATTGGAAGTTTCTCATATTCAGCCTTAGAAATTCTTACAGCTGTCTGGAGAGAGCTTCTAGTTATGTTTAGAAGAAATAATTCTCCCCAAGTAATTCATTAAAACTATTGATATGGTGTCGCTAATCTAATATATCATTATTATATGCAGCACCAGGTATACACTCCATCCCAAAGTGATTATGATTGTTGTGGTACCTGCAGAAATGTATCCTGTAAATTTCATATGGAAAATGGAACAGCAGTTACATATGCGGTATGTTTCATGGAAGGTAACACTGTGCTATTTCTTGAAGGAGGTGTTCTTGAGTAATAAGTTCAGAAAATGTCACAGACACACACACACACACTGCACTGCATGCAATAAACACAGTACACTTACAGCACACAAGACACAGTTACATTTGTTACATTGTAAAGTATCTGATAATTTATGTTGTAAAGAAAAATGCTTCACTTATGTCTCAAACTTATTGTATCATAGATCTTTACTCCTTTTTTTATAGATGTAAGAAATAGGCTTTGAGAAATTCTGATTGTGAAGGGAAGGAACAATTAATGTTTTTATGTGACAGCAATTTTTGTTTTCAGATAAATATTACTGTTCCTTGAATTTGAATATGTATAGATCTTTTCTAATTGAAGTTCATAGAAGACCTTAAGCTATACATAAAATTAGAATCTAGAGACAAGAAAGTAGGTTCATTAGAATTCTTTACTGATCTGTAAGATATCTTCAAGCCAAAGTTTGACTATTACTATTATTTTGTTATGCAAATTCCAAAAATAAAATTTTATCTCTTAAAGCAAATTATCAGAGGTATCAACAGATTAGGATAAATATAACCTATCACAGAGATAGAATTCTTTGAATAGACAATTGACATTTTTCTAGCCAATATATATTATGTACAAAAATACACGTGAGCACGTAGTGTCAAGGAAAAAAAATATATGTATATGTATGTAAACACATACATACGTTTTTATTATGTACAAATCAGTATTGGTTTCTTCACCCTTTCTTTTTAAAAATAAATACTTCATTTGGCTGCAAATGAAGAGTTGATTTATAAATTCAATTCATGAATTTCTCAGCTTTGACAAAATTAAATATGCAAACAAATTAGAAATACATATTTTTAAAAATGCAAAAGAAAAAAATGCCTGAATCCAATGAACTTATTATGTTTAAAAGTATCCAAGAGCAGCTGAATGTGGTGACTCACGCCTGTAATCCCAGCACTTTGGGAGGCCGAGGCAGGTGGATCACGAGGTCAAGAAATTGAGACCATCCTGGTCCACATGGTGATACCCCATCTCTACTAAAAATACAAAAATTAGCCAGTCATGGTGGCATATGTCTGTAATCCCAGCCACTCAGGAAGATGAGGCAGGAGAATCATTTGAACCAGGGAGTCGGAGGTTGCAGTGAGCCTGAGCTGAGATCACGCCACTGTGCTCCACCCTGGTGACAGAGGGAGATGCTGTCAAAAAAAAAAAAAAAAAAAAAAAAATTATAACCAAGAGCATGTAATGTAAGGTTTCATGTCCTTAAAATGCCTTCTCCTTTCCCAAACTTTCTTCATTACTGCTTAAAATCCTTTAAGATTATGTCTACATATTGGTCTAATACCTAAATAAACAGAAAAGCCCATGTTTTACCAGGTTAATGGTTGACGACTATTCAGAAAATGCTTACACTTCCTTTAAGTGTTTTCAAGAGTGTAGCAGTTACTGTTCATCTGAAAATAACCACAAAGTGTCAACATCCTGATTCAGAACAGGGGTAGATGTTTGAATCATGAATAGTAGTAAGGATGGAGTGACAATAAAAAGCCTTGTGATTCAAAGTGTTTGCCTGTACAGAATTAAGTCAATTTGTCCAGCGGCACAGAAAGTTACTTGAGATTCAAAAAATGTAGCCTTCTTCATCAGAGCTGGCGACCTGGTCCGATGTACCAATTTATCAAAAGAATGGCCTTAATTAGTTTATGGCAAAATCTATGATAAATTGAGGAGGCCTAGAACAACATGCCCCCGACCCTGGCTAACCTTCTTAAAAAAATAGAATAAAATGAAAAAGAGACATATTTTCCATCAAATTTTCCTTTTTGCCTAAGTAATGCTGACATTAACTACTATTATTTTTTAGATGTGAGTTATAAAATAAAAATATAGATTAACAATTATTTCATTTGACTTTACTTTTCAGTAGAAATTCTGAAATCAGAAGTGAAACAGTTACTATATTTAAATATTTCTTGAAGGAATACGGATAAATTTTAAAATGTTGTAAGCTATGCAAAATTAGATTCACAAACCAATAAACACTGTCATTTAAATACGTTTTTAAACTTTTTGGCAATAAGGGAGTAGCAGGAAGAATAAACACATCTCAAGAAAGGAGGTATATAATAATGTGATTTGTTGTTTTATAATTAGTGAGGAAATATTAGAGCAAGACCTTTGACACTTAAATTAGATAATTTTCTAGTAGAAACAGACACCTATTTGCTTCTTCACTCTCTGTTATTTTGTTTCACATTTACCTCTCAGTTCTAGTGTGAAACCTAGCATATACAAATACACCATACATGTGTATGTATTTTTATCATTTTAGGGAAGTACACACCATACATCTATATGTATTTTTAATCATTTTAGATAAATTTAGGGTCATTTTCAGATGGAACATTTTGTGTCACAAGAAGCCTCTGCATCTTGATTTGACTTTTTATTCAGTAGAGTAGAATATATTGTACTTAAGAAATACAGCAGATTTTAATATGCTAAACAGTAACTTTCTTTTTGATTTTTAGGAAGGGAGTACCTGGCACTACAATTGCACCACATATGAATGTATTAAAACTGATGAAGGGGCAATAATTCTGAACTACACTATGGTCTGTCCCCCTTTTAATGAGACTGAATGCAAAATGGTTTGTACTTTGTTATATCTAAGAAAATTTAGTATTACATATTTTAGAAAATATACATTGATATTTTCTAGGGTCATATTTACATTGTGGATTATACATTGTGATGAATATGTTATTTTCATGACTAAATAAAAGCTCTGTTCTATTTTGTTGAGTTTGAAATTTTGAGTTATATATGGTGTTCCAGGTAAATTTGACTGTCTTTGAATAGATACTTTGCAATTGTTAGGTTTTTAATGTATAGATCCAAAGATTATTGAAAAATCATTTCATCAGCAGTTTTGGCCTTCCCTTTAATATGGATCAATAAGCTAAGGAATCAGAGCTTGGCCAATTTTCTTTCTTAAACAGCAAGATTTATGATGTCATTCGAGTTTAGTGCGTGCTGGCCTATATTAAGTTTACCTTAGCTTTTCTGGTCACAGTCTACCGAAATATTTAGTATAAGTCACAATATTGCCTATTCTTAAGTTTTGCTCTATCAATTTCCCTATTCTCTCAGAGGAGAGTTTACTGGGGGAGTAGATTTGTGAACATGATATAGTTTTTAGTTTTCATGATTTTTGTAGCTTTATTTTTTTGGACAATAATAATTCCTAATAAAAGTAAGTTTTGTTCTGTCATATAGAGAAACAGTACAGCCTAGTCTTACTGAATTTTTTTTTCAGAATGTACCTTTCCAATGATGTTGGATGGCTGACTAGCTAGATATTATAATATGTACTAAAGTTGCAAAATTTTAGCTCTGGAAAAAACTTGGCCATCATCATATTTAACAGACTAATATTTATAGAGTAAATCAAATTGCACTTAGCAGGTTGCTAAAGCAATTAGCAATTCTTGTAAGAATTTAGTCTTAGACAAGTGTCCTCTGAGGAAGGAAATATTTGTAAATAATAAAATATTAAAGAAAAAGATGTGCCATTTTAACATTCAGTTATATTCAGAAACTCAAGTCAAATAGAATTAGATTATTTCAAGAAGTTGAAAATATGTAATGGTCATTAGTTAGAAAAGCTGTTATTATTTTGTTTTAGTAAAAATATTTTGTGACATTTAAAGTGTTCTTTTACTTAAAATAATTCTTTTTCACTATTTTCCATAGTACCAATATCTAAATAATGTAATTTTAAACAAAATGTCTACTCCGGATTTTATAAACAAATAAATTATTATTAGTAATAGTTAAATTCCAATTATTTTTCTATAAAGGCTTTGTGATATTTGATAAAAGTTTTAGAAAAGTTAGTTTTCTATTATAGTATAAGAGAACACGGATGAACTCCATATTCTTTGACTTTACTCCTTTTTTCTCTTTCTAGAATGAAGGGATTGTGAAGCTTTATAATGAAGGCTGCTGCAAGATCTGTAAGTGACAGCATCTTCCATGCATTTACTTCATAGATTAGTTTTAATTGCTCATAGTGATTACAGTTTTTCCTCACAAAATTCAATTCCTATGATGCAAAGAGAAAAACAAATTTTATAAAATATATTACATAAAGGTTTTTGAATATTGTGGTTAATAATTTTGTGATTTAATCTTTAACTTCTGGAGTGTAAATAAGTGTTTTTGTTTAGATTAATTTTAATTTAAATATTAATTTTTTTTATTGTGGCATATCCTGAAAGGTATTTCATTAGATTTCAATATATTTAAAATTTAAAAGTGTCTTGCGACGTATTTGTTTGAACCATGGTGAACTTACACCAACAAGTAGATTATAGTTAGAATGGCATTGTGACTCCAAAGACAACATATGGGGTGCAGTATTTTTCAAACCTGTTTGAACAAATGTATAGCTTTGTAGAATAAATTTGTGATAATATCATTTTAGTAAATTGTATTTTTATCCTTTTCATAAAAATTCCCATAATTATTTTCATAATTAAAGTTATCTGAATGCAATATATTTTTTATTAGCTTGAATTATAAGGCCTATCTCATAGTATTTTTTTTTTTTTTTTTTAGGCAAAGTCCCCCTCCTGTCACCAGGCTGGAGTGCAGCGGTGCAATCTCGGCTCACTGCCTCCTCTGCCTCCTGGGGTCAAACAGTTCTCCTGCCTCAGCCTCCAGAGTAGCTGGAACTACAGGTGCACACCACCATACCCAGCTAATTTTTTATATTTTTAGTAGAGATGGGGTTTTACCATGTTGACCAGGATGGTATCGATCGCTTGACCTCGTGATCTGCCCGCCTTGGCCTCCCAAGGTGCTGAGATTGCAGGCGTGAGCTACCATGCCAGGCCAATTATTATTATTATTTTGAGATGGAGTCTTGCTCTATTGCCCAGGCTGGTGTGTAGTGGCACAATCTCAGCCTACTGCAACCTATGCTTCCTGGGTTCAAGGAATTTTCATGCCTCAGCCTCCTGAGTAACTGGGATAACAGGTACCACACCTGCTAATTTTCATATTTTTAGTAGACGTGGGGTTTCTGTGTTGGCCAGGATGGTCTCAAACTCCTGGCCTCAAGTGATCTGCCCGTCTCAGCCTCCCAAAGTGCTGGGATTACTATTTCATAGTACTTTTGAATACTTTTAAAAAATGAAATAGAATAGAGGGTTATCCATGAAACCATATTTGCTTTTTCTTTCTAAAGTGTTTATGAGTTTATCTCAATATAAAAATAGGAATTTTCAGAAAATTGGCATAGACAGTAATTTTAAAATTTAGAGAAGGCTTTAGGAAAGGGGGACAACAAAGTTCAATTTAATAATACCATGCTATTGGGTCGGATTCTTAGATATGAACAGGCATGCCCCCGAGGGAGATTTCTGAATTTATTTCATGAAGGACTAAATCCCATACATATGTAAAAGTAGTCTTATGTTTTTAGATCTATAGAGTCATATTGAACCAAATATTAGAATGTATTAAAATATTAATACAATATACTGTACTATATACTGTCTATATACAATATATAATATGTAATATATTATGATGTATTCTCCCCCAAATCCAATGAAATAGGTTCTGATATTATCTTGATTTTCAGCTTAGTGGGGTTAAATAATTTGTCTAAGTCTACCTCTTATGAGTGGTAAGGCTGGAAATCTACTGCGGACCTGATTTCATATCCTGCTTCTTAACACTTCCTGGTATTCTGGAACATTACCAGGACAAGTTTTAGGAAAGGGCAGAGGATGAAGGAGGAGCTCTGCTGAAGTGGCAGGGCTAGAATGACTGAACTTTTATTTAAATAATGTGTAAAAAGCCAAATTCAGTGCACACATACACACTTACAACAAGCAAACAAGTCCAACATAGGATGGCCTGACATCTAATTTGTTGTTGTATTAGTTTGCAGGGCTGCTGTAACAAACCAAAAAGTGGTTGGAAATAGAAATTTATTGTTTCACAGTTAGGGAGATTAGAACTCCAAAACCAAGATGTCAGCAGGATTGGTTCCTTGGAGAGATTGTAAAAGAGATCTGCTCCAAACCTCTTTCCTTGGCATGTAGATAGCCGTCCTCATGCTCACATGGTGTTTTCTCTTTATTGTGTCTGCCTCCAAATTTCCCCTTTTACATGAACATCAGGACTATTGAATCAAAGTCCCCTAATGATCTCATTTTGGCTCAGTTATCCCTGCAAAGATCTTGTGTCCAAATAACATCACATTCTAAGGTACACAGGCATTTTTAAAAAACATAATTCAACCCATGATAATTTTATGGCTAAGACTTTGGGGGATAGTATAATATCACCTATATATTTTTTAATTACTAAGGCTTTAGTTAGGTATACACTGATTAAAAATGTTCTGTTCATTAGAGATAAGCAAGTTTTAATTCATATTCTCTAAATCAAATATAAACTAAGATGTATCAAATAGTCATTGTATCAGGGACTCAAAGAATAAAATTTAGCTTTAGAATATGAGGAAATTTAAGATTTCACTTTTTTTTTCCATCTTCTTCAGAGTCTAGACTCTTCCTTAAGTAAGAGATACAGGAATAGAGTCACATGACAATGTTAAGGTCCTGGTTGCTGCATCCCGTGTTAATTATTAGAGAAGTGAGTACATTTATGTTATCTCAGGGCAGACAGGGGAACAACTTTGTGACTAATCATATGAATGACCACTATTGCCTGCCACACATTGATACTCTATTAAGCACATTGTTGACAGGACCACAACTAATCCTCACAACAGTTCTGGGAGGCAGTATGTTTTCCCTACAGATGAGAACTAGAAGGTTCAGAGAGAAGCTGATCATACTAGTCAATAATAAATTTAGGCCTGTCCACTGTCTGGGCCCAGGATCTTTCAACTCTGCTAAGTTCTTTGAAGTTGCAGAATAACAACAAGCCACTTCAGTTTCTCTCATCTAACGTGAAATGACTCGTAATATAGTTCCTGCTGGCATTTTAGAAAACCCTTTTCTGCTGCCTTTGCTATCTGAAGACTAGCCTATGTTGTAGAGATTGTGGAGGTTGCATATGATCACAGGCTCTGTGTTGAATAAAATCTGTTACAATAAAGTTTTTGAGAAATTAATTAGAAATGCCTCTTGGTACCAGCTAACAATAAATTAATGCTGTCCCAGTTTCATTTACTGAATGAATTAGCTTGTTGGGTTTTTATTGAGTGCCTACATCATGAAGATCTTTTTAGCCACTGGGACCATAATAGTGAATGAAGCAATATGTGCCTGGAGAATGTTCATTATCAGGAAGGGAAAGAAACAACGAACTCATAAATATATTCTAATATGTCGGGCAGTGATGAGTGGCATGAAGACAAATAATGTAGAATGAAAGGAATGGAGACTGAGAGGAGCTGGATTGCTAACTTAAGTGGCAGCTTAGAAAATGCCTTGGTGATGAGTTGTCATTTGAGTAGGTCCTTGGGAAGCCACCCAGACGGTGAAGAGTGTTCAAAGTGGAGGAAATAGTAAAATGTGGCTATTGCACAGAAAGTAAGGGGAGGAAGGTGATAGAAAGAAGAGGGTGAGGCATGTTATAGGTCATAGTAAAGATGGTTCATTTCAAAAATTATTTTAAACACATATGCCACATAGAGGTTGATGTTAGCATTATTACATGTGTGGAATATTTCTGATTTCTAATTATGATAGTTATTCTAAGACAAGAAGATAAAAAGTGGAAATCAGTAAGTGTAAAGCCAGAAAATATGACTTAAAAGGCAAAACATAAGATTTAGAAGGCAAAAGTAAATATTGCATATAAAAATGTAAGAGGGAAGTTTTAACTGTAAATATATTCATATGTTTAATTAAGAAACAATTTAACATGGGCCTTTTGATGAATAAATACATTTAATATTTTATCAGGCAAACAAGAAGAAAGAATATGCCAGAGAGTGATCATTAAATCAATCATAAGGAAACAGGACTGTATGAGCCAAAGCCCTGTAAGTGGAAAAATGTCATTTGCTACATAAATGGTACACATCTCAAAGTATATGTGTTACAGGATGAATAAGTTGGTAAGCCAACAAAATGCCACCACCTACAATATTTAACTGAAATTATTCCTACATTCTGATATTACAATTTTGTTTATGAAGAAGTATAAATTATTCTTAGCATAATCAACAGTTCTGAATGATAATTGCAATCGGGACGGATAGAAATTGAATCTAAATGTATTTGACAACATGTTGTCTTCACTCTGCAATTTTACTCAGCAAAAAGAGTCCTGCTTCTAACTCTGCCTCTTTTAATATGACCTGCTCAATTCTACAGTCTACTTGAGCCGTGATATAACACAGGTTACTATAGATAACTATGTTGTGATTAACATATTCCATATATGTGTGTGTGTATATATATAAATATATATGTCGAGTTATGTGTGCACATTTAACTTGAAGTTATGTCAACACTGCTATGTTGAGCATTGCCATGGAATATCCCTTTGACTTGTATGATTGATATTTCATTTATTGTTTTTCACAATCTTCCAACATGCAGGAGCTTGAGGGTTAGAGTGATGAGGAAGAAAGCTTTTCATCTGATTTTCTTAGTGGAATCAAATAATAACCAACACTTTTAAAAGTTTAAGACTTTTTTCTCATTGTCACTTCTTACAGATAAATGTTGCATCTTGTGATGGCAAATGCCCATCAGCTACCATATATAACATCAATATTGAAAGTCACCTAAGATTCTGCAAGTGTTGTCGTGAAAATGGAATCCGAAACTTGACTGTGCCTCTGTATTGCTCAGGAAATGGCACTGAAATCATGTACACTCTCCAGGAACCCATAGACTGTACCTGCCAGTGGAATTAAACTCTTGGGTTCCAAGAACTGTATACAATGTCATAATGTCAAATAGAGTTAACTTTTATCACTATTACTTAGGCACGTGGCAGATTTATGCTGTTTAACAATACTGTATTTTTCAGACTTGGAATGTGGAAATTTAGCAATTGGTTCAAAATATATACATAGTTTCAATAACAAAATTAGATTTATTGCTTTACTCTGTTTTAGAAAATCAAATGACTCAGTTGTTCAGCTGAAATGCTATTAGGTATTTAATTGCAACCTGGTACAGATATGGTATATTCTCATTGTTTGGAAGGTTATTTTGCAAAATTCCTTCAATTTCACTCAATAGCTCTTTTTTTCTTAATTTTCAAAGTCTGCCACAGCTATCCAGATTAAGATACCCTTTAGTCTGTACTCCTTAGTCTGGTAAATATGATTAGTTAAAACTGGCCTCTAGATAGCAATAAAAAATGATATGCCTAGAGACAGATAATAGATTATTTAAAACCTGAATGGTTATTAGGGAACTCATTATATATTCCCCTCAATTTGCAGCTATAACAGGTAACCAGAGAAGCTGTGTGACTCATACCAATTTATTCAGTGTAATAATATAGTAAATTCATGTTAACAGTTGGATTACATTCTAGGCCTCTCTTATTCCAGTACTATGTCACTTTAAAAATCCTCAACAGTGTATGGTAAGAGTATATCACAGAATACTTCATTCTTAAAGAGCTTGCATTGTATACAATTAAGCATTTTAAGTTCAACATATTTGAAAAATGCCCCCCCCATACACTGTTATTCTAGTAGTAAGGAAAAGGAAAATGTAGCATCATTTGCTAAGTAGAGAAGGGAGATCTTGAACTTTTATTTTTTATATCATTAAAACTGCTATTAAAAGTGTTGTCAGCATTTAACATTTAGTTACTGTCTTATTAACATTTAATCTTGAAGATGTACTTGCATACTGTTGAAATTGAGTGCTATTTTGCTGTTAATGCTCCTGCTTAGCCTATGAAGAATGAAATAAATTTATCTGCATGTATTAATAACTTTAAAATGGAATGCTGCACTTGAAGGATGTCTTGAGGTCTTTGGGAATCCCCAAATTCTTTGCCTCCTATAATTAAAAATTGTCCAAATTTTCTACTTGGTATAAAGGAATGAATGCCCTACATCAAGTGAAGTCAATCATCAATAAGAGAACAGTAAAGTCGCATTGCAAAGCAGATACTGGGCCTTAAGGGTGGGCTTAGGCTTGAGATACACGATGTGCTTTCACATAATAATATTTTCATTTCAAAATCATGCTTCCCCAAAATATTGCAACTTACTAAATATTTTGGATTCCTAGGGTTATTTAAATGTGTGTGAAAAAATTAACATTGCATCTGCAAATCCCAGTGTTTACTGTATATGAAATTGATTTATCTTGTATGTGCTTAATATAAATGTTCATGAAATGTTAACATTTCAATATTCTCTGATTCCTGTTAACATATATATAATTAAATGATTTTGTAAAAATATATTAATATTTAACTTAAAAGAAAATGTCATATATCTCAAATAGAAGTACCTAATGTTGTATATTGTCTATTGCCCATTTTTTATTTTCATTTTCTGTAAAGTATTTGTTAGTACATTAAAAATATTAAGTAATCTTTAAACCCATTTGTGGATAAAGGGGAAACATTCTCCTAGAACTTCATAAACATTCAGTAAATATAGCAAATATGTATTTAGGGCCTACATATGCCAGGCACTATTATAAACTCTAGGGACACAGGCAAAACTAAACAGACACAGTCCTAACCCCCATGTTACATAGAGTCTGGTAAGACAGCAGGCCTTAAATACCCATACATATGAGAAATTACAGAAGGAGATCCCAAAACTTATTAGAATGTGGCATATGATAAAGATGGCCCTGAAATCAGCAGAGGAGTGCAAATTGGTTCTCAATAAATGGTGCTTGGATAATTGGATGGTTACTTAGACAAAGAAAATTTGAATTCATACATCCATTGGCAATAGGATAACCTCCAAATGAATCAGAGGTTTAAATGTTCAAAAACAAAAGAAAACAACATAGGAATTATAAAAGGAAATAGGGGAGAAATTTTAGACTGGGGAGAGCCATTCTAATTGTGACTCATTAGCCAGATACCCCAACTAAATGATTCATAAATTTAACAGTAAGAAAATGGAAAGCAGACAAATTCTGCTTAGAAAAAAAGTCAAAAAAAGGTAAAACCAAATATTTGTGGCATATCACTGACATAGTCTAATCTTCCTGTATATAAAGCACTCCTGAAAAAAAATCACGAAAGGAAAAAAATTACCAACCTAATTGAAAAAATGAGCCATAGATATAAACTGGTAGTTGAAAGAAAAAGAAGTTAGACTAGTGGGTTCTTTAACAAAAAACATAACTGAGCACACTTTTAATTAATAAAATATTTCACATTCAATAGACACCAAAATTCAATTTCTCACCTACCAGACTGGTAAAAATTCTGAAGTTTAATGATATTTTTATTTTTTAAGGCTCTGGGAAGATAGGTATTCTTCTTCTTCTTTTTTTTAATTACAAGATAGGCATTCTTACATGTCCTTGATGATAACACAAAATTGTAGAAAGCCTAGGGAAAACCTAGCAATGCTTTTTGGTTTGACCAAACTCTCTAGAATATATATCCTATACAAACACCTCTGTACAAATACAAAGTGGTATTTGTGAAGGTTATTAATTACAGCATCATTTGTAATAGAAAAGAGCCAACAATAGTTGAATAAGGTATGTTAATCCACATATCTAATACTATACATCTGTGAAGAAAGAATGAAAAAGAAATGTATATTTCGTGTGGGATGATTTCTAAAACATATTCTTAAATTGAATAAAGTATTGAAACCTAGAACAGCATATTAAAATGCTAGGTGTTATAAATTAAAAAGGGCTCAAATAAGAAAATATAATCATTTTTACATAGGAAGTAAACAATGAGCTAATAAAATGGCACAAACCAGTGGTGGAGGTGGATCAGGGTAGATGAAGATTGGGATGGAAATGAGACTTTTCCATGTATATCTTAATATACATTTTGATTTTTGAATTATGAGTGTTTTGCATTTCAAATATTTAAATTAGATATAAACATATACTAATATAAATAAATGAACACTTCTAAGTCATGAGACATGCTGCAAGGGAAGAGTAGAGGTTGCTGAAACAGTGACATAGCAAAATCTAATTTGGGTTGGTGTAGAGAGCCAGAGTAGCCCAACCCCTCTAGGGGGTTCAGCAGCAAGGCTGCTGTGAACTTTGGGTGAACTCCAGAGAATCGAAACCATAATAGGGGAATGTGTATGTCTCGGAGAAGAGCAGTTGGGCCTAGCAAAAGATAACCAGCTTTCACTGACCTTGCTGCAAGATAGTTGTTAGCTGAGGTATGTTAACTGAAATATGAGAATTATATCCACAGGCTGTTCTGGGTAACTGCACCCTCCCTCTGCTGTGTGCTTTGTGAACATATAAAATAAAGTACTCTGAGGCAGGACAGAGCCAAAGAGACTGACACCATCAGCTTTTTGGACCGCCTGGCCCACCTTTATATGTCTGTCTGTATATCTTTCTTTATCCCCTGCCATTCCCTCTTATGTCTTTGAACCTTATGCAGCGTGGGATGCAGCACACGCCAGAGATTGGGTGAAAAGTAAAGGGAGGCCTCTGAGAAATTGATGTGTAAGTTGAGACCCGAAGGACGAGTGTGAATCAACCAATAAAGCATTTCCAAGAGAAGAGAACAGCATATATTAAGGTATTTTGAGAAGAAAGGACAAAGGCCGATGAGGGAACTGATAGACAGAATTTTGTTTGTTTGTTTTGAGTAATGGGGAGTGTGATATAGAATGAGGCTGGTGAGATGAACTGGGAAGCTAAGCAATAAACAAAAAGGCTGATATGATGCTATTGCTATAGGATAGGTGAGAAATGGCAGTGGCAGTGCAGATGGGAGAAACGTACTATACAAGATATATTTCAGAGGGAGAAAAGTACTATGTAAGATGTAAGTCAAGGACTTGATAATCGCTATGATACAGAAATGTGTTTTGAGAATGTTTCTGAGTTTGATCAGCAGCTGAATGAATAAACCTTGAACAGAAAGGTGAATTTTAGGGGTGGGATGGGGAACATTTAGAATCCAATTCTGAGCATGTTGACATGGCTGATTAGACAACTGAGTGCCGTTATCAGAACATGGCTATTTCTATTGGTTTGGTGCTCAAGAAACATCTTCGTTGAAGTATTTTTAGGATTTGTTAACATATAAATTGTATGAAACTATGAGAATAGACAAAGTTAGCTAGGGCAAGAGTATACAGTGAGAGGAAAACATGATTTAACATTGAGTCTTGAAGACCTCTTACATCTAAGGACTCATATAGAAAAAGAATGGCCAGAGAAAAGGACTGAGAAAGAATGGCCATAGATGTTGAAGTAAAGTCTGGAACCTTGATGGAAGTCATAGAGCCAAGGGAGTATAGGGCTATACAATGGACTGTAGTTACAGCCTGTCAAATGATGAGTCACTGAATTTATGAATGAATTGGTGTTTCTTATGTACAAAAGCATAGTGAAGTGTGTTGAAAGGGGATTGCCAGGTGATAAATTGTTCTTGATGCATGCACCCCTCCACTTCTGCTCATGCAGAGATTGGCTCATGCTCATGTTTCTGCAGTTGGTGGTGCTGGATCCGCTTCTGCTTCCACCTTCATGGAAGATTCTTCCCACCAGACGGTGGACACAGGAATAGCACTGCACATGTGTAGCTGACCCAGTCCCCACCATGGGCCTCTTCACCTTCCTCTGATCACTGCTCACTCTACTTCTGTGGAGGAAGGACTCCATCCCTGCCTAGTGTCTGCCGTGGGAGCTCTGGCTTCCACCACCACTTCTGGAAAAACTCACGGGCCCTCATGAATGCCTTCATGAGCTGGATAATGCAGCTGGAAAGAGCAGGAGTTAATACCCTATGGGGTGAACTCTGACAGATGTTTGACAGGCCCAGAAGTCAGCCAGTGAATTGCTCACCATCGTTCCTCACTCCCAGCAATCTTTCCAAGATGTAGGAGTTTCATTTGGCCTTTCCAGGTATGTCTGTGTGATTGTGGCCTGCTGTCTAACAATCTGCCTTGTACTTGCTTTTGATCCTCTCCTCTCTCATCTCACTTTCCTTAAGTTACTTCCTCCCAGTCTTCCCCAGCTCAGGCTCTATTTCAACCTCTATAGCCATTCTTTCCCAGTTTTCCTGGCCACTCACAGCTCTTAACACTGCATGTGTGTGTGTTGTGTGTACATATACATACGTATGTGCTTCCTGATAGGCTCAGAAATAAACATTTAAACTACAAGATGCAAATGTTTGCTTATTAAATCAATAAAGACTTTTAACTGTATACTCTGTCATGTTGGGAGGGAGAATAGTAAAAAACAGACTCTCGTGTATTGATTGTAGAAAGTAAAAACAAAATAGTCACACAAATAATTTATTTTGAATATTTGGTTATTTATTTTTTCCTTTCTCTCTGTCTCTCCTGATCTTGAACATATATTTCTGTAATTTTTAAATTCGTAAAAATTCTTATATTCTTGTGCACTTTTCTGCAGCAGAAATTTTATATGCTATATAGTAATCCATTAAGTGAATATCACAATTGATTTAGCCAGTCTATTAATGGATATTTGATTTGTTTCTATTTTTTCATTTTATAAATCCTTAAGTGTGAAGTGGAATTGAAGGATCAAATGGTATCAACATGTGAAGAATTTCTTTTCCTGTTGCCAGATTTGTCTTCCATAACTGGTGAATCAACTTTTGCTCCCACAAACACTATTTATGAGTTTGTTTCCTTTATCCCTTATCATCATCAATATTATATAGTAACAGATGAACTCACTGATATGATAAGCAAAAAATATCAGCTCATATGATGTTAGTATATGTATCTGAGCTTGCCATTGAATTGAAACATTTTTACATACTTACTGTAGTTGTTCTTTTGTCTATTTTTCCTTTGTGTATTTTCTTACTTGGTAATTTTAAGCTATGCTCTAGAAGAACAAACAATTTTGGAAAATTTAACTTACCTAACACTACCTTTTAAAGGTTATATTACAATGAATATAACCTAGGAATTTTGATTCCATTTTTAAAAGTTGAATTATAAACAAAATAAAACCTGTAATTCATGTTAGTTTTAAGAGGTGAATGCAAATTAATTACTAATTTATCAATTCAGTGAAGCTTAAAAGTAGAAGAGAAAGGCGGTCTCTTGAGTTGCTATGCCTAACAGGAGAAAAGAGGCTCTTAATAGGAACTGTAAGGTTTTTGAGGGGTTTTATTTAGACAATTACCATGTTAAGTTTTATGCTTAATGTTCACATTACACAGAAAATAACACTAAATATTTGAAATCCAGATATATCAACTAATTAAAATTGATATATTGTGAAGGTTTGTGGTTATGATATTGTAGACCAAAAACAGCAAAACTCTGTGAAGTGTTTAAAGAGGCTTATTCTGTTTATCTTGAGCCAATTGACTATGGCCCAAAGAATAGTCTCTAGAGGCCCTAAGAAAGTGTGCCTAACATAGGTTATAGTTTGATTTGATACCTTTTAGGGAGACACAAGCAAAGACATAAATTAATACATGGGACATATACATTGGTCGGGCCTAAAGAGGCGGGATATATTGTATGTGTGGGTCTTACAAATCGCAGGTAGATTCAAAGATTTTCTGATTGGCAGTTGGTTGAAAGAGCTAAGTTCTGTCTAAAGACTTGAAGTCAGTAGAAAGAAATGCTTGAGTTAAAATAATGGCAGTTGTAGAGAACAAGTCCTTGTTATGTAGATGAAGCCTCCAGGTTATAGCTTTCAGAGACAGTAGATAATTGTCTTCTTTCAGACCTTAAAAAAGTGTCAGGGCCAGGTGTGGTGGCTCATGCCTGTAATCCCAGCACTTTGGGAGGCCAAGGCGGGTGGATAGCAAGGTTAAGAGATTGAGACCATCCTGGCCAACATGGTGAAACCCTGTCTCTAGTAAAAATACAAAAATTAGCTGGGCATGGTGGTGCATGCCTGGAATCCAAGCTACTACTTAGGAGGCTGAGGCAGTATAATCGCTTGAACACGGGAGGTAGAGGTTGCAGTGAGCTCAGATTGTGCCACCCGCTGTACTAGCCTGGGCAACAGAACGAAACACCATCTTTAAAAAAATGTTAGACTCTCATTTAATCTCTCCTAGATCTGGGAAAGACATAGAAAGAGGAGATTCTCTACAGATGCAAATTTACCCCACAAGAGAAGACTTTGCAGGACCATTTTACAATATGTCAAAGACATATTTTGGGGTAAGATTTACTTTTATTTCCTTTAGGATATGCTATCTGTCATGTTGATGCTATACCAGACTACGATTAGAATTTGGTATCTTATTGCCACACAGTCTGTTTTGTCAGTCTTATGGTCTTCATCTCAATGTTAATGCTGGTCAGTTGTACCTAAAGTCCAAAAGGCAGGAGGTATAATGAGACTTGCATGACCTCCTTTCACACTGTGGCCAGGAATTCAGTTTTTTAGGTTTCTCTGCGGTCCCCTTTGCCCAGAGGGGACCTGTTCAGTTGTTTTAGGGGTGCCTTAGGATTTTATTGTTGTTATACAACATGTAGACTCAGATAATTTCAAAATATAGAATAAGTATCATTGACCAAATTCAAGTGGGTTAGGATTTATATTTGTGCTAATATTCCCAGACAGGATTGCTGTGAATGGTTTTACAGTTTGGGCATTGTATAAAAGTGCTTATCTTACAGAAGAAAGGTAGTGCTGAATTATAGATCAGGCTCCTCAAGTCAAGACATGTGCCTTGACAAGGGGCTGTTTCTACCCAGAGGAAGGAAAGTCTTTTTTTCTTTGCATAAAGATGAAGTCATGGTCCTCTTGTTTGGGGCTACATCTTCCCAGAGGGAGGAGGCTGTTTTTTATAATTTCTGCAGTTAGAAGCAGGAGGCTTTTCCTGTCACCCACCAGACACTATGCGTTTTCCTAAGATATCTGCCATGAGAAGGCACCATGTGGTAATTTGTACAAAAGTTAGCTACTGTTGTGTTACTAGCCTTCATAGTTTTCTAATAAAGTCTTATAAATGGCTGTAGCTCTTGGAATCTTGTCTTTTCATTGCATCTTTGTGGGGGGAAGAAATTTCTCAGAATTTATTCACTAACAGCTGCTAATGAGAAAGTTTTAAATGTCTAGCTAAAGATAAAATTTTATTATTATATTACAAAAAAGTCATCTATTTAAAAAATACAGCATTTACAGAAATTTAGGGATAGATAAAAGTATAGAAGGCTATGTTTTTTTATTAAAGAATATGTAATTTAAATTTTTCTGCCTTTATAACCATATGTATTTTATATCCATATTTAATTATATGTCTATATTAATATTTTCTCTTAAAAGCCATATATGCATGCACATAAACACACAAACACATAAATAGGCTTAGTATTTTTTGTAACCCAACCTAATAGTTCTATGTGTGAATTAGCTATAACCCTTACTGTCAGGCTACTGTCACCATCTCTGAATTGTTATGTTTGTTTTGTTTCTTGGTTGCTTGATATGTAACATCGAGTGATTTTTCTCTGGAAAGGCACATGGATTGTATATTCTAAGGTTTTATTCATAGTATAGCATGACAGCTAAGGTCTGAGGTTCTCAGATCAAATAGGTACAACATCAAATCTTTATAACGTTATTTGTGACTAAATAAATTGAACAATTTTACACTTCATATTTTTTCAAATGTTCTATAGAAATAGTGTCAGGCTAATGAGAATAACATATGTAAAGCACTTAGTAGAACTTTAAGCACATAGAAAGAACTTGATATGTATATATATTTTTTATTTTATATATATATATTAACTGGTTATAAAAATTTCAGGTCATAGTTACTTTCAAAAAAGTAGACATTGCTTCACTGTGTTTGGGCATTTAGTATTGCAAAATAAAAGTCTGGTTCTAGCTGATGTTTGGTTCCATTATAGATATTTTACTTTGTCTCCTAAATTGTTGCTTATTGAAAATTTCTTTCAAGGTTTGAATTCAACGATATTGTGAAAATATGTATGGTTATAGTTCTCTATCCATCGATATTCCTTAAGACATTTGAAATATTTCAATCTTCACGCAGTTTTTTTCTAAATACATAAAATGTATTATATTACTAGTATGTTTTGTTTGATATGCTTTCATTTCAGTTAATCTCATTTTATATTCAGGAATATTATATGTATGTTGTTTATCTTTCATACCTTTGACATTTTCTCATATTTCACCTGTCTTTTTGTTCTGTATAATTACAGAGGTTTTCAAGTTTTCCTTCCATAATACCAATTCATATTTACTCTACTTCAGTTAGTGTTGATTATAATTCTGTGAATGCAGAATTTTTAGTTTACTTGCATTAATTTTTTATCTGATGTCATTTTTATATCATCGAATTTTGTAACCTCCGGTTGTTTTATATCTATACCAAACTGCTGTTTCCTCTAAATATTTTTCTACATGTCTTTTGCACTCTGTAGAGAAAACCAAACTCTCCTGTATTTTGTTCCCAAATTTTCCAACATGGTGCTTATATTAATTTGTCTGTTATTCCTCTGAAGTTTTAGGATGCTATTCTCTTTCCTTTTCTTTGCAGTCATATTCCATAGGTTATATGGCTTATTTTCATGTCATTTTGACTGTTTATTAATGATTAGGGTATCTGGGTTACCCTTGGTTATACTCTATTACCGCTTGAGGAATTTCGAATTTTATTCTCACATCTCAAAGTATAGGGCAGGATGATAAAGTTGATTTCTATTTCATTTCCATACTTTCGCTAGCATTTCTCTTTTATACAGAGGTGGCCACTTTTCCAAACTCTATTCATGCTTCTCCAATATCCTGATTTGTCAAAATATAGAGAAAGTTCCAGTTTCCGTTATGTACAACAGCTGTTTTTGGTTGTTGTTATTCCTGATTCTTTCTAATCTACTATGTTTGTCTCATGGTCACCAATTAATAAAATATAGTGGGCTAGAATCTGTTGTTTTCTGGGAGCTGTTATCTCTGAATAAAAATAGAAAGCCAGGGAGATTGTTGGAGTGAGGGAAACTTTAGCTACTTTTAGACACATAGTTGTATAACAATGTGGTCCCTGATCAGTTTCTGGTAGGTATAGATCTCAAAACTCTGAGTTCAAGAATTGGAAATGTAAGGTATGTTAGCTATCTCCTTTCACTTTTGTTGGTTGACTTTTTTTCTATTTTACAGATTTTCTTCTGTAAATAAACTCAATTTTATTCTGTTGCACAATTTTAGTTGTGATTTTGTTTTTGTTTTTTTCTATTTTTCTTTTTCTTCAATGTTTAGAGAAACATTAGTCAGGTATACATTAAGGAGTACTGTCATGCATACTTGAAGACATATCTGAACATTTTTCTGATATCAAAAAGTTGGAAACAACTTAAATATTCCACAATTCTATTTTTTGGTTATTGTTATATAAATTGTGACATTTATAACTTGGATTATTATACCTAATTCAAAATCATATTTTAAAAAAATTCTTTACTGACACAAAATGTTTTATGAAAAAACAAGATACATAATTTAATTATTCCAGTCTTGTTAAAAATAAGATATGTATACATTACACAGAAAATATCTTGGGAAGAAATACATGAATATGTTCAACATTGGCTATCTTGGGCTGGTGGTATTTTGGGTGAATTTCTATATTTTTTACTTGTATATATTCAAAATTCTCTTCAATAAGCAAGTGTTTATCTTGAATCTAAGAAAATTAGAGTTTGTTTTGTTTGGTTTTATTTGTAAAGAGATAGTGAGGTTCTTAGAAAATAGTGATTTTGGCCGAAGGTTAAAAAACCAAAATTTCTTCAAGGCATACATTTTACTATTTAAGCAATACATAAACAATTCTGATTAAAAAAATTTTTTAGTATTAGCCATTTTGAGTAATACCAACTTCAAACAAGTATTTCTAACATTTTTCAGAAGAGAAAAAAATATTGGCTAGCTTGAGCAGAGGAGGCTAAATTGTAATTTATGTGAAATTTGTAACTCATATTTGAAGATAATAATGTTTGTATTTAAAAGAGAAACTCCAACTTCTTCTTTAAAATCTGCCAAGATCATAATTGTTTTGCTTGGTTTAAGAATAAGAAAATATTGGAAAAGGTCACTGTTTATATCTGTCATGGCATAAATCTGAGCATATTCAGCAACTTGATTTTGGCTAAAATAACATGCATGGTCTGCACATCTATGTGGCATACCAAGTTGAAATAGAACATTGTGCTTTCTCCTCATCTGTGATGAACATTTATTTTTTAGTTCTTTATTTTCAAGAGAAGAACTATATAATTTGTAATTAATATAGTATACTTTTTTGCACTCCAAGTCTTATCACTTGTTTTATTTTAGAACAGCACAAATTTTGAAAATCAAATATCAATATTGTACAAAAGATCCATAAAATTGTGCAAAGGAGTCTTAAGGAAATAAGCTGACCTATAATATTAGGATAATAAATGTGTAGTCAAATGCATGAGAATTATTTGATATTAAAATTAGTATATTAAAATCTATATCTATATCTATGTATAATATATATATTTTTTGAGACAAGGTCTTGTATTGTCACTCAGGTTGGAGTTCAGCCTGCATGGCCTACTGCAGCCTTGACCTCTCAGGTTCAAGCAATCCTCCCAACTCAGCCTCCTGAGCAACTGGAACCACAGGCACATGCTACCATGCCCAGCTAATTTTTTTGTAGAGATGAGGTTTTGCCATATTTCCCAAACTGGTCTCAAACTCCTGGGCTCAAGTGATCTGCCCACCTCAGGCTCCCAAAGTTTTGGGACTACAGGTGTGAGCCACCATGCCTGACAAAATCAACAATTAGGAAATTATTTCTAACTGTAGAATGAGTACATAGCATAACATATAAAAGTGTTATGCTAAAAGTAGTGCCAGAATACATCTAGTTATAGTTGTATTCATTTCCTTGCTCCAACAGCAGCTGGTTTAATTATATCAAGGAAGAGGAAATTAATTACTTAATCAGTAAGGAGAGATTCTATTGCTTTTCATGTGTTTAGTGGTAAGGAGACCAGTCTCTAGAAGTAGCCTGAGTTCAAATCCCTATGATGTCATATTTACTTACCCACGGGAGGTAGGTAGTAGTTGTAGCATGAATTCACTCCAAGAGATGTCCTTCAAAGAATTTGAGATAAATATTTCCTTCTAACAATAACCAAACTTAAGATAGGCAGGA